ACCCCTCACACTATCCACCACCGACCCTCACACTATCCACTACCACCCCTCACACTATCCACTACCACCCCTCACACTATCCACACCCTACCCTCACACTATCCACCTCCCCTCACACTATCCACCACCTCCCCTAAACTATCCACCACCTCCCCTCACACTATCCACCACCTCCCCTCACACTATCCACCTCCCCTCACACTATCCACCACCTCCCTCACACTATCCACCACCTCCCTCACACTATCCACCACCTCCCCTCACACTATCCACCACCTCCCCTCACACTATCCACCACCTCCCCTCACACTATCCACCACCTACCCTCACACTATCCACCACCTCCCCTCACACTATCCACTACCACCCCTCACACTATCCACCACCGACCCTCACACTATCCACTACCACCCCTCACACTATCCACCACCTCCCCTCACACTATCCACTACCACCCCTCACACTATCCACCACCGACCCTCACACTATCCACTACCACCCCTCACACTATCCACTACCACCCCTCATACTATCCACCACATCCCCTCACACTATCCACCACCACCCCTCACACTATCCACCACCGACCCTCACACTATCCACTACCACCCCTCACACTATCCACTACCACCCCTCATACTATCCACCACCTCCCCTCACACTATCCACCACCTACCCTCACACTATCCACCACCTCCCCTCACACTATCCACTACCACCCCTCACACTATCCACCACCGACCCTCACACTATCCACTACCACCCCTCACACTATCCACCACCTCCCCTCACACTATCCACTACCACCCCTCACACTATCCACCACCGACCCTCACACTATCCACTACCACCCCTCACACTATCCACTACCACCCCTCATACTATCCACCACATCCCCTCACACTATCCACCACCACCCCTCACACTATCCACCACCGACCCTCACACTATCCACTACCACCCCTCACACTATCCACTACCACCCCTCATACTATCCACCACCTCCCCTCACACTATCCACCACATGCCCTCACACTATCCACCACCTCCCCTCACACTATCCACTACCACCCCTCACACTATCCACTACCACCCCTCACACTATCCACCACCTCCCCTCACACTATCCACTACCACCCCTCATACTATCCACCACATCCCCTCACACTATCCACCACCGACCCTCACACTATCCACCACCTCCCCTCACACTATCCACCACCGACCCTCACACTATCCACTACCACCCCTTACACTATCCACCACCTCCCCTCACACTATCCACTACCACCCCTCACACTATCCACCACCTCCCCTCACACAATCCACCACCTCCCCTCACACTATCCACCACCTCCCCTCACACTATCCACCACCTCCCCTCACACTATCCACCACCTCCCCTCACACTATCCACCACCTCCCCTCACACTATCCACCACCTCCCCTCACACTATCCACCACCTCCCCTCACACTATCCACCACCTCCCCTCACACTATCCACCACCTCCCCTCACACTATCCACCACCTCCCCTCACACTATCCACCACATCCCCTCACACTATCCACCACCGACCCTCACACTATCCACTACCACCCCTCACACTATCCACCACCTCCCCTCACACTATCCACTACCACCCCTCACACTATCCACCACCGACCCTCACACTATCCACTACCACCCCTCACACTATCCACTACCACCCCTCACACTATCCACCACCTACCCTCACACTATCCACCTCCCCTCACACTATCCACCACCTCCCCTAAACTATCCACCACCTCCCCTCACACTATCCACCACCTCCCCTCACACTATCCACCTCCCCTCACACTATCCACCACCTCCCTCACACTATCCACCACCTCCCTCACACTATCCACCACCTCCCCTCACACTATCCACCACCTCCCCTCACACTATCCACCACCTCCCCTCACACTATCCACCACCTACCCTCACACTATCCACCACCTCCCCTCACACTATCCACTACCACCCCTCACACTATCCACCACCGACCCTCACACTATCCACTACCACCCCTCACACTATCCACCACCTCCCCTCACACTATCCACTACCACCCCTCACACTATCCACCACCGACCCTCACACTATCCACTACCACCCCTCACACTATCCACTACCACCCCTCATACTATCCACCACATCCCCTCACACTATCCACCACCACCCCTCACACTATCCACCACCGACCCTCACACTATCCACTACCACCCCTCACACTATCCACTACCACCCCTCATACTATCCACCACCTCCCCTCACACTATCCACCACATGCCCTCACACTATCCACCACATCCCCTCACACTATCCACCACCTCCCCTCACACTATCCACTACCACCCCTCATACTATCCACCACATCCCCTCACACTATCCACCACCACCCCTCACACTATCCACTACCACCCCTCACACTATCCACTACCACCCCTCACACTATCCACCACCTCCCCTCACACTATCCACTACCACCCCTCATACTATCCACCACATCCCCTCACACTATCCACCACCGACCCTCACACTATCCACCACCTCCCCTCACACTATCCACCACCGACCCTCACACTATCCACTACCACCCCTTACACTATCCACCACCTCCCCTCACACTATCCACTACCACCCCTCACACTATCCACCACCTCCCCTCACACAATCCACCACCTCCCCTCACACTATCCACCACCTCCCCTCACACTATCCACCACCTCCCCTCACACTATCCACCACCTCCCCTCACACTATCCACCACCTCCCCTCACACTATCCACCACCTCCCCTCACACTATCCACCACCTCCCCTCACACTATCCACCACCTCCCCTCACACTATCCACCACCTCCCCTCACACTATCCACCACCTCCCCTCACACTATCCACCACATCCCCTCACACTATCCACTACCTCCCCTCACACTATCCACCACCTCCCCTCACACTATCCACCACATCCCCTCACACTATCCACTACCACCCCTCACACTATCCACCACCTCCCCTCACACTATCCACCACCTCCCTCACACTATCCACCACCTCCCCTCACACTATCCACCACCTCCCCTCACACTATCCACCACCTCCCCTCACACTATCCACCACCTCCCCTCACACTATCCACCACCTCCCCTCACACTATCCACTACCACCCCTCACACTTTCCACCACCTCCCCTCACACTATCCACCACCTCCCCTCACACTATCCACCACCTCCCCTCACACTATCCACCACCGACCCTCACACTATCCACCACCTCCCCTCACACTATCCACCACCTCCCCTCACACTATCCACCACCTCCCCTCACACTCTCCACCACCACCCCTCACACTATCCACCACCTCCCGCCACATTTCCCCTCACCCCCCCCCCTTCTCTCAAATCTATGTACTTGCTCGTGTGAACTAGACCTAGTTTTAAGACATCCCCAACATGCATGACACATCCAGGTTCTCAGATCCCCTGTTGCAAACATCATTCAAATACCTCCTTACCCCCATCCCCCTCACAATTACGGCCACACCCAAAGCCCACTCCCAAGGTTGCCACGATAAAGAGAAGCTCAAAGTTAAAAACAAAAACTGATCCCTCTGAAGGCCTTTGATTATTTTCTTACACTACACGTGATGTTAAGAAAATTTCACATGGTTAGAAAGTGATCCTCGCTTTAGAAGAGCTCTTGAAACTACTTTGTGTTGAAATGTCTGTGGTGCTTGAATTCAGACACTGAACATTACAGAGGTTACCGCAACAAGGGCTTCTTGTAACACATGTATTAGACGCTAAGACAGGCAGATATTGAACGATTCCATTTATCATGTTTACCCATTAAGTCACAGGAAACAGACTTGTAATTAGTACAAACTATTTGTGTTGAAAACCCTAAAACATTTGAGTCAAACCCTAAAACATTTGAGTAAAACCCTAAAACATTTGAGTCAAACCGTAAAACAGTTGATTATAACCAAAAACTCCGAGCTAAAAGCCAAAACAAAATTTCCCACACTGCTAGTTGACCTGTAACAGCCGTCACCCCCAACATATTCATCAAGTTGCAACAGCTGCTGTAATACAAAAAACAAAAGCTGTTTCACCTCACAATAAGTTGCTCGATGCTGAATTCACTGACTATAGGCACGCATTGCTCTAATAGTATTTTATCATAAACATGTATGACTGAACTCTGAGTAGTCGCCCAGTGTGTAGCTGGCCTAAATGTGTATGCATGTACCAATGCTGTGTTCACTGCTCATAATATGTGTGTTTGTGTTCACGACATATTCTCAGTGTACTAGAGTATCAAGAAGAGAACCTCTAATGTCTACTACATGTTAAGTTGAACATTCAGCAAACTGTTGTTACATGAGGGCTATTGAAGTGTACTCGTGCGACAGGCTGAGACCCTCTAAAGCCAGACACCTGTTGTATAGTGGAGTTCTCACACAAAGCCAAAATGTGCTACACAGGCTCATACAAATGACTGAATTAACGGTGCTACACGGGGCTCATTCAAATGGCTGAATTAACTTCCAAACACATTCGCCATCTACTTGTACACGCGTGTTTTCAGAGTGTGTGAGTGCTTAGATGCATAATCTTTGTTTGGTGGAAGCGGCTGATTAGGCTATCGTCTTTAGCAAGGCATTCAGTACTTTTTTAAGAAGTCCGCTTGGTTGATGTTCTTTTAATGACCGGCTATGACCGGTAAATGTTTTGTTAAGTCCGGTTAATGTCCGGTTAAATTCTCGGTTAATGTTGGGTTATGTTCGGTTATTTTCCGGTTTTTGTCTGGTTAATGAATTGTTAATTTCCGTTTAATATTCGGTTAATATGCACCTTTCCAGAAAGCTAAATCTATAAGTCATGGCCACATGTTATTCTAACGACAAGCCCCCCCCCCCCCCCCCCCTCCTTCAGATCTTAAACTAACGACCGACCTCTCCCTCCGCAGATGGACTTGTTGGTCAACCAAGACAGCCTCGACATGGATGACCTTTCTTTCATGGGTGACCTTGACTCAGACATGACCTTGAGCCGGCACAAACGCTTCATCACGACCAAGAGCCTGGTGGAACAAAGCCGGCTCACGGCTCTCTACATCATCTTCATTCTCTTCATCCTCCTCCTCAACGGGTTCTTCATCATCGTTATCCTGGAGTCCAAGACAATGAGAGCCAGTTCCAGACACATCCTGATTCTGAGCGTCTGCATCGGGGACATGATCATGTCGGTCTTCGTACTTCCGGTAAGTTCAAAAAGTAGAACTTTGATTGGGTATAATGACAAAGCTTCAAATTGTACGTATGCTAAAATTTAAATGTAAATACAGCATTGTAGGGTCTTTATAGAAATATTTGCTATTCAACGCAAACAATGTCGGATGATGTTTTATAGCTTATGATGTTTTATAGCTTAATAAAATCTCTAATGGTTTATTAAATTTCACCACAATATGACGTAGGCCTACTTGTGTAAGAAGTATGTGTTTTTAGGATATAAACTTTTACTCAAAGTGTAAGGTGCTAGACAGTTACATTAGTAATTGTTTGGGAAATGTCGCTCTAGTGACTATGTAATAAATGGGGTAATATGTGTAATATGTGACGTCATTTCCTCCCCCCCCCCCCAGGTGCTGCTGGAGATGAGGATGCGACACGGGGAGACAATCGTGGACTGCCCGACATTTTTTGCCATGAGGATCTTCGCGGATTTTCTCATTCCGTCAGTCACAACATTGGCCATGTTAGCGCTCAACATCGACTATATACTCAGGCTCTGGTAGGTCTATATACTCAGGCTCTGGTAGGTCTTTATACTCAGGCTCTGGTAGGTCTTTGACTATATACTCAGGCTCTGGTAGGTCTATATACTCAGGCTCTGGTAGGTCTATATACTCAGGCTCTGGTAGGTCTATATACTCAGGCTCTGGTAGGTCTATATACTCAGGCTCTGGTAGGTCTATATACTCAGGCTCTGGTAGGTCTATATACTCAGGCTCTGGTAGGTCTATATACTCAGGCTCTGGTAGGTCTATATACTCAGGCTCTGGTAGGTCTATATACTCAGGCTCTGGTAGGTCTATACTCAGGCTCTGGTAGGACTATATACTCAGGCTCTGGTAGGTCTATATACTCAGGCTCTGGTTGGTCTATATACTCAGGCTCTGGTAGGTCTTTGACTATATACTCAGGCTCTGGTAGGTCTATATACTCAGGCTCTGGTAGGTCTATATACTCAGGCTCTGGTAGGTCTATATACTCAGGCTCTGGTAGGTCTATATACTCAGGCTCTGGTAGGTCTATATACTCAGGCTCTGGTAGGTCTATATACTCAGGCTCTGGTAGGTCTATATACTCAGGCTCTGGTAGGTCTATATACTCAGGCTCTGGTAGGTCTATATACTCAGGCTCTGGTAGGTCTATACTCAGGCTCTGGTAGGACTATATACTCAGGCTCTGGTAGGTCTATATACTCAGGCTCTGGTAGGTCTATATACTCAAGCTCTGGTAGGTCTTTGACTATATACTCAGGCTCTGGTAGGTCTATATACTCAGGCTCTGGTAGCTCTATATACTCAGGCTCTGGTAGGTCTATATACTCAGGCTCTGGTAGGTCTATATACTCAGGCTCTGGTAGGTCTATATACTCAGGCTCTGGTGGGTCTATATACTCAGGCTCTGGTAGGTCTATATACTCAGGCTCTGGTAGGTCTATATACTCAGGCTCTGGTAGGTCTTTGACTATATACTCAGGCTCTGGTAGGTCTTTGACTATATACTCAGGCTCTGGTAGGTCTATATACTCAGGCTCTGGTAGGTCTTTGACTATATACTCAGGCTCTGGTAGGTCTATACTCTCCCATCTATACAATTACAACCCCTCATTCCTATAATCCCCACCTGTACTCCTCACCTATACTTCCCACCTTTAATCCCCACCTATAATTTCCCACCTATAATCCCCACCTATAATCCCCACCTATAATCCCCACATATAATCCCCACCAATAATCCCCACCTATAATCCCCACCTATAATCCCCACCTATAATCCCCATCTATAATCCCCACCTATAATCCCCACCTATAATCCCCACCTATAATCCCCACCTATAATCTCCACCTATAATCCCAACCTCAAATCCCCACCTATAATTGCCACCTATAATCCCCACCTATCCCCAGCTGCTCCGCCTACTCTGAAGGCTGTAGCAGGACGACCATTATCGTGTTGCTGTTCCTGATGCCGTGGGTGGTGAGTGGTGCCGTGCTGATCCCCCTCTACATCGACGGCATGAACAAACTCTCGCAGAACTGGCTCCAGACCTGCGACATCGAGATGGGCGGATACCTGACCCGCACCCTCCTCATTGTCAGCTACTTCCCACAGGTGAGTTAGGGAAATTCACTCATAGGGCCCACAGGTGAGCTAGGGAACTTCACTCATAGGGCTCACAGGTGAGTTAGGGAACTTCACTCATAGGGCCCACAGGTGAGTTAGGGAACTTTACTCAGTACTCATAGGGCCCACAGGTGAGTTAGGGAACTTCACTCATAGGGCTCACAGGTGAGTTAGGGAACTTCACTCAGTACTCATAGGGCCCACAGGTGAATTCCCACGGGTGTACCCACGAATCCCACAGTTGAGGTTCCTCAGGTGAATTAGTTAACATCACTATGTTATTACTCATTGAATTATTTTTTACGGTGCTTATGTTTTTTTTTTAAATTCATTTTGACAAGGGAGTTAACTTTATGTGTAAGGGAATCTGGTATGTTCTTACTTCTTTCCCTTAGAACTCTAATCTAGTAGTGTTTCTTCCAGCCTCCGGGGGGGGGGGGGCACTTGAAATATCGGTGGGGGGGGGGGCTAAAATTATAGTGTTTAACTTGATCTAATCCCCTCCCCAGGCTAGTGTTTAACTTTATTTACCCCCCTCCCCAGGCTAGTGTTTAGCTTTATCTAATCCCCTCACCAGGCTGGCCTACTGCTAGTGTTTAGCTTGATCTACTCCCCTCCCCAGGCTAGTGTTTAACTTGATCTAACCTCCTCCCCAGGCTGGTCTACTGCTAGTGTTTAGCTTGATCTACTACCCTCCCCAGGCTAGTGTTTAACTTGATCTAATCCCCTCCCCAGGCTGGCCTACTGCTAGTGTTTAACTTGATCTAACCCCCTCCCCAGGCTAGTGTTTAACTTGATCTACCCCCCTCCCCAGGCTAGTGTTTAACTTTATCTACCCCCTCCCCAGGCTGGCCTACTGCTAGTGTTTAACCTGGCTGTCTCCATCCTCTACCTGTGCCGACGTGAGTCCTACAGCCTTGACGTGTGTGGTGAGCGGATCCGCGCCCCAGTGGACATCTGCCTGGCGTCCTTCACCACCATGCTCTTCTACACGCCCATCTTCCTGGTCACCCTGCTGACCACTGAGGGTTACCTGGGCTGTGAGTACAGGGAGGAGTGCCACGCCCTACGTGTGCTGAGCACGGTCTCCCTGTGGCTGATGTTCACAAAGTCCTGGGTCGTTCCGCTCTGCTGGTTCGCGTGCCGTGACACACGGGCGTGTATCAGGCATTTGTTGGCATGTTGTTGACGTGGGCATGTGTAGATTTTAAATTTGTTTACATGTTAGTGTGTTGTTGACGAGGGCATGTGTAGATTTTAAATTGTGTTTACATCTTGGTGTGTTGTTGACGAGGGCATGTGTAGATTTTAAATTTGTTTACATGTTAGTGTGTTGTTGACGAGGGCATGTGTAGATTTTAAATTGTGTTTACATCTTGGTGTGTTGTTGACGAGGGCATGTGTAGATTTTAAATTTGTTTACATGTAAGTGTGTGTGTGTTGTTGACGTGGGCATGTGTAGATTTTAAATTTGTTTACATGTAAGTGTGTGTGTGTGTTGTTGACGAGGGCATGTGTAGATTTTAAATTTGTTGACATGTGTGTGTGTTGTTGAAGTGGGCATGTGTAGATTTTAAATTGTGTTTACATGTTAGTATGTTGTTGACGAGGGCATGTGTAGATTTTAAATTGTTTACATGTTAGTGTGTTGTTGACGTGGGCATGTGTAAATGTATGTTAAAGTGTGTTTACAATCATACTTCTGTATGTTAAATGTTCGTGTTTTTAAACTGTATTTACATATAGTGTGTTGTAGACGATGGGTTGACGTAGTTTAATATAAAAATGTGTTTACATGTTGGCATGATGTTGACCAGGGAATAATGTTCATGCATTCTATTTTAACATTAGTTCACTTGATGACGTTGAGAGGATATATTTCAGAACGACTTGCAACTATTCTGTTTTATGTAAGACAGCAAGATGGCATTTAGTCAATGTAACAAACGATTGTTACTTGTACATCAGGAGATGTAACATTGATGTATTATATTTGTTTCATAGATGTATAATATTCGTATCGTTGGTGTATTATTAATTTATAAGATTCGGTTTTGTATCACTTGTGTAGAATGTATTTATCATTAATGCATCATATTTGTATCGTTGATTTCTCATCGTGTTAGAAAACAAACTGTTGTCTTAAATGTGATCCCCGACAGGGCCATATCAAAGATATTTTCGCTGTATTGGCTACCCTAACCTTTAACCCACATCTAAACCTTACCTCAATCTTGATCCTAACTTTCACTTTAACAGCGGCCAACAGAGGGGAACTTTTACGAGATAAAAATATTTGTTTTTTTCTGGAATTATTATTTTATTTGTGATTGTTATTTACTCTACAACATAAAAATACAGACTAAATTTTTCTTACAACTTTACAAACTCAAAACACGTCATAACGTGTGTTTTATAGCCGTACTTTATTTATCAACAAACGTCATGAAAAAAATTTGAAACGTGATGTTTAGAAATTTTAGCAATCTATAATTCGTAAAATAACAAATTTCTTCAGATGTATTTTTTAAAAGGCAAAAGAAGTTGATTTGCTAGCTTGAATAATGGGTAAACATAAATTTGGGATTAATTTTTATTTGATTTTTAAAGTTATTTTTCACAATTACTTTTACGCTTCATTTTATGTAATAACAATATTGAGAATATTTTTTTTATATATGTTAGCGAAATTGGTTTAAGGTCTTACCGCTCTACGCTTTCGTTTCAGTAGGAATTACATTTTTTAGTTTTTCTCTCTTGGTTTCTAGTTTCGATTTAAAATTACAATTATGAAGTGTGTGTAATAGGTTGTATTACTCGAATCAATGACATTATCGTGGTGTGTGTTGTTATGTTTCTTTCAGTTCTTATTGTTATTCATTTTTGCTTAGTTATTTATTTTCTGTTTATTTTGTTTGCTTATAAAAACAAATTAAATCCTAGTTTAACCAAGTGCTTAAATTTAGTAGAACAAAATTTTCTTCGATTAAAAATTATCTTTTACAATATATAGATTTAGATCTATATTGTACATTTTAATTGGTTATTAACACTGAGGGAGAGAAAAAAAATTGCGCTAAGTTTTAAGTGATGCATTATTTATCATTGATAAGTTTAATTATTTGTTATTGAAAACTTTAATAACAGGTTCTTTTAATATAACGGCCGTTATAATTATGTACTACACGACACCTTTCCTTAACCTGCCCCTTTTTTCATCCCCTAACCCTAAATTGGCCTAAGTCTAAACATGATATCCAGAGGATAAAATCACGAACCAATACAGCACTGATCAGTTAAGGTAATTTTTGTGGCCGATTTAAATTGTTGTTTTCTATTGGCTAATTATAGATCTACGTGTTTATCACGAGGTTTATGTTAGAGAGTTTTCCTGTTTTCATGTCGCTGAGCTATGATACAACACCAAGACTCAAGATGTCGCGAGTGATCTAGTGTATGATAAGGCGTGATGTGACGTAATCAATTTGTGTGCATTACGTGAAGAGTGTGATACTTTGAATAGATGATTTTGTATCCTTGTATTCACATCAGTTTTTCAATCATCCCCAGTGACACAATATTAATGTGATATTCTTGAATGGCAGTAAACTATACACAATGTTTTCATCTTTTGCCGTACGTTTTATGATTAGATCTCTTCACTATATGGACACTAGCTGTATATTTAGAGATTGTCAGCTTCTGTGTATTTACTCAAAGCATATTCTTACTTATAATTAACATCACATCTATATTTATAAACTTTATCTTATAATAAATATTTTCTTCAATTGTATATATTCGTTTTTAATATATTCTTTAATAATGCATTTGCCCCCAATAATTATATAAAATAAAACAGATGATTAAATACAGTAGCTATGCTGGTGCTACTGGTATTGGTAGCAAATACTGGCTGGTGCTATTGGTACTGGTAGCAAATACAGGTGCTATTGGTACTGGTAGCAAATACAGGTGCTATTGGTACTGGTAGAAAATACTGGTGCTAGTGGTACTAGTAGCTATGTTGGTACTAATGATACTGGTAGATGTGCTGGTGCTATTGATACTGGTAGCAAATACTGGCTGGTGCTAATGGTACTGGTAGCTAAGTTCGTGCTACTGATACTGGTGCTATTGGTATTTGTAGCTATGGTGGTGGTAATGATATTGGTAGCTATGCTGGTGCTATTAGTACTGGTAGCAAAGAGCATCAGATAAAAGCTTTGGCTAGACGGCATCAAGCTCATCAATATGTTGCTGACTTTTTATTTTATTTTAGCACACAAATGTGTCAGCAATATAGCAGAAACCCTAGCTTTGTTACTAATTGGTTTTATTAATGAAAGAAAAAAATCTAAAAAACACAAAACAATTTTATAGCTAAGACAGTTTTATTATTGAACGGTAAACACCAAAACATATTTAACCATAACCGCATCAGGTATGTTAAATTTTAGTTTAAAATTAACAATAGAGAGTTATAAAAATAGAATGAAAAATAATCATTTTGGCCACAAGTCCGAATTCAGAAAATGTTTGTGTCGTTTTTTTTTTATCCTCGATTTATTTTTCTAATGTAGGGGGTGTCTGTGCCTGGTATGATGCTGTGGATAGGAGGAGTGGATGTGGTATGCATTTTACAAATAAACATATATATATATATATATATATATATATATATATATATATATATATATATATATATATATATATATATATATATATATATATATATATATAAACATATCCGTATCAGAATTGAGACCCTGTAGACAACAATAATTGTTTATCTCGCGAATTCTTGTCTTTAAATAAAAGTACAAATCAGCATCAGCGGGTTGAGACATACCTGACGTCCTTGGGTTGGCCAGCGAGGTTGATGGCTCGCTGGTTGGCGTAGCTGGTCCAGAACCAGTAGGGTGGACCACCTGACTGACAGGTGTGGCTGCCCAGGTCAGGTGTTCTGTCCACGTAGTACATCAGGTACAGGTTGCACATCTCGTCGTTCACGGTAGGCCTGGGCAGGTGCAAGGTGGTCAGTCAGTGGTGACATGGTGGTCATTCAGTGGTGACATGGTGGTCAGTCAGTGGTGACATGGTGGTCAGTCAGTGGTGATATGGTGATCAGTCAGTGGTCACATGTTGGTCAGTCAGTGGTGACATGGTGAACATTCAGTGGTGATATGGTGGTCAGTCAGTGGTGACATGTTGGGCAGTCAGTGGTGACATGCTGGTCAGTCAGTGGTGACATGGTGGTCAGTCAGTGGTGACATGGTGAACATTCAGTGGTGGCATGGTGGTCAGTCAGTGGTGTCATGGTGGTCAGTCAGTGGTGGCATGGTGGTCAGTCAGTGGTGTCATGGTGGTCAGTCAGTGGTGGCATGGTGGTCAGTCAGTGGTGTCATGGTGGTCAGTCAGTGGTGGCATGGTGGTCAGTCAGTGGTGACATGGTGGTCAGTCAGTGGTGACATGGTGGTCAGTCAGTGGTGACATGGGTATGGTGGTCAGTCAGTGGTAACACACAAACGTACACATACATACACACACAAACACACACCTCAGTACTTACCTGTGACCGTAACCTCTCGCAACACACACAGGAATACCACATCAAACACACACACTTACACCAAGAGAGTCCTGATGTGTGACCATATAACTCACCCAATCTGGATGTTTCTGGCGTTCAGATTCTCCATGGTACAGCGGAAAGCCTGAGACAAATACACAGACATTATGTAAGAAATGGGTGGGCTAGGACGTATTAAGGTATAGAAGCCAGTAGTAAAGGTGGTATGAACGGGTTTGTTAAGACAAAAGTTTTTTTAAAAATCGAAGTAAATGGCTTTAAAATGCATGCGATGATAGGGTCTACACTATTTTTTTTTTAAATTGATTATGACTTTTACTAAATCGTGCAAATTTGTTTCTACTTTTTAGTTGAATTGGATTGTTGTACATACGAAAATATGCAACAATTAGTTTTAAAAAACATCTTGAAGAAAATAAAAGAAAACTTACCAAGACATCGTTCTTCTTTATGTCTAGACCAGGGTTGGTGACATTGTAGAACATCTTCAAAAAAACAATTCGGGTTACTTTTACAATTTTGTAAATTAATGAATACGTATTTTTAAAAAGAATGTGTTTAATACATGAGGTAAGAACTAGCATTAATCAGTAATATCTATTTAATACTCAGTTACTTCCCCTTAAAGTATCAGTTTTAAAGAAACGGTCAAAGAAAGACAACTCAAAAAATAGACAATTATTATTAATTACTCAGTTATTTCCCTTTATGTGACCAGCTACAGGAACTGGTCAAAGAAAGATAACTAGAAAAATAGCACGAATTAAATTTATAGTAAGCTACCTCCCTTTTGTCATGTTATTAAGAAAATTACCTGTGGAAGACGAGGGTCTTTCCTTCCCATTTCCGTCCAGTTGCCGTTACGGATGCGATAGCCAGCAACAACACGACCTAGATTTGTAATTAATAATAGAATGAACTCGTCAACGGTACAATCTATAATTTTAGGTCAGAAATCATTGCAATGTCTGCAGTAATCAATTATATTTCTGTTTTTTTTTTCTTTATTGTGTTTTTTAAATAAGTATAAGTAAAACTGGGGTTTTAACTGATTTTGAAAAGGTAATAGCCTCGCCACATACTATTGAGGGTATTCGTTAGAGCGGCTGACCTAACTAAATATCTGAGTTTAATGATGCTGGAAAACTCGTAATGCTGATTTCTCTCAGGAACCAAAAAGAGTTTTCCCATTTGAAAACATGCTGTCGTGTTTTATATGGCAGTTAGAGTAAGAGCCAGTTGAAATTCGACATTTTGCAAAACACAAATTGTTAATTAAGCTAATGGGTAATGGCCAGCTAATTTATAACTAAAATATCTCTTTGTAACAGAAAAATGAGCGATGTAACAAGCAATTCAGTAACCATTGGAGTGTGTGGACTCTATAGCATAAACATCTTGTTATAACAAAATAAATATGTGATACAACAAAAAAAAAATTCACCAACCGTTGGAGTGTGTGTGTACTCTATAGGCAAATGGGTAGAGTGTGACGTCAGCAGTGATGACGCAAGCAGCCTCGAAGTATTCTGTCACAAAAACAAAAGAAGGGGGGGGCGGGGTCGAATTAGTGGTGCAAGAAGCCAACGTAAGGTTGTGATAAATATTGATAATCTTCTCAATTGTTTAATATAAAGTATGCTTTTAATTAACTAGATAATACTTTTTACAGTTATTTTTAGTCAAATGTAGTGGTTTAGTGTTGAAGCTTAGATGTAAAGATTTGATGTCGATATTTGATGTTGATATTTGATGTTGATGATTGATGTTGATATTCGATGTTGATATTTGATGCTGATATTCGATGTTGATATTTGATATTCATATTTGAAGATGACATTTGATAGTGGATGTTGATATTTGATTTTTTTATTCGATGTTGATATTGGATGTTGATATGTGATGTTGATATTTGATGTTGATATTTGATGTTGATATTTGATGTTGATATTTGATGTTGATATTTGATGTTGATATTTGATGTTGATATTTGATGTTGATATTTGATGTTGACATTTGATGTTGATATTTGATGTCTTACCAACACTGTTAGCTGGGATGTAGCCGCTTGTTCCGAAAAACAAAATGGCGGCTTCTTTTGTTGTCCTTGAAAAAACAAAACAATTTATAGCAAATTATCCCCAGCTTTACTTAATGAAACAACGCAATGCAGTAGTTAGCAACTTTATGAAAGTTTACAAACTCACACAAGTAAGTTTTATACTCACGGTGTTGTGCTAGTCACTAGAGTCACACAAGTTTTATACTCACGGTGTTGTGCTAGTCACTAGAATCACACAAGTTTTATACTCAAGGTGTTGTGCTAGTCACTAGAATCACACAAGTTTTATACTCACGGTGTTGTGCTAGTCACTAGAATCGCACAAGTTTTATACTCACGGTGTTGTGCTAGTCACTAGAATCACACAAGTTTTATACTCACGGTGTTGTGCTAGTCACTAGAATCACACAAGTTTTATACTCACGGTGTTGTGCTAGTCACTAGAATCACGCAAGTTTTATACTCACGGTGTTGTGCTAGTCACTAGAATCACACATGTTTTATACTCACGGTGTTGTGCTAGTCACTAGAATCACACAAGTTTTATACTCACGGTGTTGTGCTAGTCACTAGAATCACACAAGTTTTATACTCACGGTGTTGTGCTAGTCACTAAAGTCACACAAGTTTTATACTCACGGTGTTGTGCTAGTCACTAGAATCACACAAGTTTTATACTCACGGTGTTGTGCTAGTCACTAGAATCACACAAGTTTTATACTCACGGTGTTGTGCTAGTCAATAGAATCACACAAGTTTTATACTTACGGTGTTGTGCTAGTCACTAGAATCACACAAGTTTTATACTCACGGTGTTGTGCTAGTCAATAGAATCACACAAGTTTTATACTTACGGTGTTGTGCTAGTCACTAGAATCACACAAGTTTAATACTCACGGTGTTGTGCTAGTCACTAGAATCACACATGTTTTATACTCACGGTGTTGTGCTAGTCACTAGAGTCACACAAGTTTTATACTCACGGTGTTATGCTAGTCACTAGAATCACACAAGTTTTATACTCACGGTGTTGTGCTAGTCACTAGAGTCACACCAGAACTATCAGTGTTGTTTCCTGGGGATGAAGGTGACTGTGTAGTGAAAGAGACTTAGAACAGAAAGAAAACTACCCATCATAATGTAAACAGTTCAGTCTGCAGTTACATCCATAAACAAGAACAGGCAACTCTCTTCATGTTTTTCTGTAAGGGGGGGAAACTTGACAGCACAAGTAAAACAAACATTTTTCTTTAAATTATCTTTCATTACGCCATACATTCAACAATACAATTCTTGATAGTATTCAGACAAATAATATAAGAAATGCACATGAAAAATACATAAACACGGGCAATTTTTAAATATTTGACCAGAATATTTATAAGCAATAAAAACGGTGATTTATTCATGAGTTCAAGATCAACTGTATATAAATTCTCTGCAAAGTAGGTCTATCGAGGTCCGCTAGAAAGTGAATCGAAAAAGTGAAACTCCAATGTGCAAGGTCAAGCATGACTTGCCATGAGGTCGCGGTGACCTCAGCCCGCTCATCGTGGGGCTGTGAGTAAGTTGAGTGCCATGTGGGTCACGTGGGGCAACCACCTGGTCCCAAACGCCAACCCGGAAGGGAGATGATTGGGACCGGGGTTGTCAGTAAACCAGATCCACCCCTGTGATGTTGCTATTGATGTTGTTGTTGTTGTCATTCGTGTGGTGTTGGTGTGTAAATGTTGTATAATAGTTGTAAAGATGTTGTTGACAAGCGGGTGCCATAACTCTAGTGCAATAAAAAAGTTTCAAGAAATGATAGTCTCTTTCACTCATGACCTCTTTTTGTGGTCAAGTTACATTGTCACACGGGAACTTTTATTTTGTCAAGTATGTGGTCGTTACATTTTCATTTCATACACGAACTTATTTTTTTCTGTCAAGTATGTGGTCGTTACATTTTCATTTCATACACGAACTTATTTTTTTTTTCTGTCAAGTATGTGGTCGTTACATTTTCACTTCAAACAACTTTTTTTTAATCAAGTATGTGATGGTTACTCTTGTAAAATATCTACCAAAAGCCTCTAATTTTTCCTCTTGAAGTTTTTTATGTTTACCAATATAATATTTTAAACATATTTTACTTGTTTTTAAAATCTTTATTTTTGATATTTTTGTTGTAACACTGCGTTTTCGTTGTTTTTATTTATTTACGTCACTTCTAGTCAACGATGTCCTCTTTTAAGATTTGTTTGGTGATAATTTTCAATCAATCAATCAATCAATCAATCGATCGATCGTTGGATCGATCTTCCGTTAACTCTTATTGGATCGTGTGGGACCACACGATTTTCTCATAATTTTCCGTAATTAACATGTACAATTAGATGATGTTAGCAACACGAGATAGCAGAGCTATATAGTGAAAAAATAAATAGCTAGGCTACATGTTTGACTTACTTGGTGGTTTAAAGCTTGTAATGTTTTTGTAGTGCACCTGAAGTACCAAGTACTTGCTAGCTGTGCCACTGCCAACATCAAACGACACGTCTGTTCAAAATAGAGAATCGGTTTGGTTTGACAGATTTAAATAGGTATGGCACATCTGCAAATTCTTCTTCTTTGTTCTAAATTATAAAATATTGAAGGAGATTATTTCAACACAATTAAGTTTTCATGTCAGCGAATTATGCGCGATTTTTGGATGTTGATTCTAACTTTTCTTTCTGAATTGTCTTCCGTAGCCTTTGTTCACCCATGAAGAATAAACAAAGTAGCAGTTGTCTGTTATTGGAGTTTTTCACCTAGATGGGTTGCTGTTCCAGCTAATGTGTTTCCCGTCTTTTTTAAGTGCTCAAGCCTTTCTTTTTTTGTTTGAGAATTTTAAAATATAATTCTTTTTTCATCAGAGATCTTGAAATAACTGAGATTTTTAAAGACATTTTTTATCAACAAGCCTGACATGTATCACCACAAACTGCTGTCACCCATCAGTAAATGTCACACGCCATCAGATGTCAACCACTATCAGATGTCACCTCACACAGATTCCACCCCACCCAGTCTCCACACTGACCTGCAGGTAGGTTTAGCCTAAGTGTCCAAAAACACCTACTGACCTGCGGGAAGGTTTAGCCTAAGTGTCCAAAAACAACCAACTGACCTGCAGGTAGGTTTAGCCTAGGTGTCCAGACAACCAACTGACCTGCAGGTAGGTTTAGCCTAGGTGTCCAGACAACTGACCTGCAGGTAGGTTTAGCCTAGGTGTCCAGACAACTGACCTGCAGGTAGGTTTAGCCTAGGTGTCCAGACAACCAACTGACCTGCAGGTAGGTTTAGCCTAGGTGTCCAGACAACCTACTGACCTGCAGGTAGGTTTAGCCTAGGTGTCCAGACAACTGACCTGCAGGTAGGTTTAGCTTAGGTGTCCAGACAACCTACTGACCTGCGGGTAGGTTTAGCGTAGCTGTCCACCAACTGACCTGCAGGTAGGTTTAGCCTAGGTGTCCAGACAACCTACTGACCTGCAGGTAGGTTTAGCCTAGGTGCGTCCAGGGCCCAGGCGTAGATGATGTTACGTCCAGCAGCACACACAGCTCCACGCTTGTAGCCGCTGGTTGAGGTCATCTCGCCACAGTTCCTGTTAGGTCAATAGGTCATTATATACACAGATGGTTAGGTCATTTCATACAGAGTGTTAGGTCTTTTTTACAAGCACCGTCAGAGAAAATTTAAACCAAAACGTTAACGCCACTCACCACACCACTCACGACACATTCCCACCTGCCACATCACACACCACACACCCACACCACAACATTCAACACAACACGCCGTACATCACATTACACCACTCACCACACCACACCACACAACACTCAAAACACTAATCAGAAAACACACCTCTCAGGCACAACACCACACCCCACACCACTAACCCACAGTCCCACACGCTACACCACACCACATCACTCATCACACTACACACCACACATCAACACCCCACACCACTCACAACACCACACAACAAACCACTCACAACAATGTGCCACACACAACATCACTTCCTACACACCATACACCATACACCACACCACTACCGCACAGTCCCACACGCCACACACAACACACCACACACCACGAACCAAACACCGCACACCACTTACCACACCAAAGCCCCACACACCACTGCACTAACCACACACCACACCACAGCCCCACACACCACACCACTCACCACACAGTTCCAACCTTGCCCCCGGGTATCTCACAACCAAAAAGCAGCATGTGATGAGCGATGTCTGGGTCAGCTTTGGGAACGAATCCAGCTGAGACAGGGAACAAAAACAGTTAGGTCAAAGTTTCTCTGAAACCTAATCAAACTCTACTCATTTTTAGTTAGCTAAAGCTTCGAGAGATTATAAATAGACCCGTTAAAAACAGTTTGTACTCACAGATATACCTGTGGACGTCATCAACCTTCTTGGTCATACACAGGTAAGTGTCGGGCTAGGGACAGAAGGGAAATAACTCATTTAACTGAAACACTTTAGCAAAGGGAGGTAATAGTTATCTTAAGTCGTATTTAGAAACTCGTTAGCTAAAGGAGGTAATAGTTATCTCAAATTGAGTTTAGAAACACTTTAAGAAAGAGATGTAATAGTTATCCCAAGCCAAATTCAGAAATACTTAGCAAAGAAGGTAATAGTTATCTTAAGTCGTGTTTAGAAACACTTTAGCAAAGGAAGGCAATAGTTATTTTAAGATCTGCTTAGTTCTTCTGATATGCTACTGGTTACATTTTATACTTATTTTGTAAAATCTGATGAACGATATTAAACATATAAAAAAAAAATAAATAAATAAAAAAGACATGTATTTTGGGTCTGTTAAATTACGAATATACACCATCATGATGAGGGATAATATCGCGATAAAAGCATAAGACTGAAATCCCTAGGGGAAGAGGAAAGTAGGCCGGCCAAGGAAATCCTGGAGAAGGACAATAGAAGTAGAGCTGACGGGCTAACACGGGCACAAATAAAGGGAGCTGCGCAGAGACTAATGGAGAGGTGTGGCTGTAGCCCTTGGTTCCTCAGGAGACAAAATGGAATGTCAAGTCCTCGTCATGGTGTGACACCCATTATGGATGGGGGTGACATCATCATGGGTGGGGGTGACACCAAATTACCCATAGCCTTAGTACATAATACAGCTGACCACACATTCCCTTCAAATGCCGAGGTCAATAAACATATGTACTCTACTTCATCTGCCCAATGGATCGCTAGGTTTAAAGAGTATTCTTTACTTAGTACATCATATATATGTATGTATATATATATATATATATATATATATATATATTTGTATATATATATATATATATATATATATATATATATATATATATATATATATATATATATGTCCGTGAAAGAGGTGGCGACACTGGGTATAGCGCCCCTTCCCCCCCCCCCCCCCTGGGTAGCTTAAGGCAAGGGAATAAAGCATGGAGTGACAGTGTAACTTAAATCACTGAGTACAAACAAAATGTCGGCGTTCAACTCAAGCAGTGGATGGGAGGGTTGTGAGGGGATGAGTCACGTGACAAGAATCACTCACATCCTGTGGCTGAACTGCGGGCATGAGCAGGTCGATCTCAAGGGCACCGCTCTGGGCGTGGCTTGCAACAAACGTCATCATCAACAACGTCACAACAACAAGGGCCGCCATCTTGGTCCGGTCCAACTACCGAAGCAGCACGTTCTAGAATGAAGAAGAGTACATGTTACATTTTTAAATCATTAACCTCACTCGAAAGTTAACTTTCAACTACTTCACATATAAATGAATTGCTAACACCTAAATAGAAATTAAAATAAAAACTGGAATACCGCTGTTTTAAATGTCATATTTTTGTTTAAGTTAAAACCTTTAGTGTTAAATCTTGTAGCTTTTTAGACTTCTTTTTTCATGTATCATTGAAGTAACAAACTTCTGGCAAATTATATGTTATTTCATCAGACGAAGTAGCCTTATACTGTATCAAGGTCTATGCCTACCTTTAGATAGTCAGGAATTTATAACGATACTGTATTTTTGTGGGAAATTAAAATACCTTCTGATATTGTTAGCATAAAATGATGATTGGTTCTTAGCCTAGGCTAAGTCGACTTTGTTTTTTGTTTTCATATAAGTTTGTCATCCATTACGAGTTTTGGTAATGGCTAATTCTTTTAATAAAAATCAATTTTAAAATCTTTTGGACAAATAATTTACACAATGCTATTGACCATTTTACTCGTTAATTTTAATAAACATTTTGTGATCTCTTGTTACTTTGTAACGTTCTTCTAGCATTAGAGAACGTCAGTTACCCTAAAGGACTTTAGGTAATTAATTCAATAGATTTTATCAAAATAAATTAATTTTCTTTTTTTTTTATTTAAAAAATTTTCAATTTTAAAAAGTTTTTGTTTTTTGTATTAAGTTTATTATTTTTAAAAAGAAAAAAAAAACGCAGTTAAAAAACAAACATTTTTTAACCAGCTAGTTTCGGTCCAAAACCATTCCTCATTGAAGTAATTTAAAAACTCTTTGAAAAACAAATCGAAAAGAAATCTTTATCTTACCCGAGTACAAAGCTATCAAGTGCTGAATGAGTGATGAAGTCAGGGAAGTAACTCTGCTCTGACTTTAGCCTTCAGCACCCCAATTTAAACTGAGAGAAATGAGGTCGGTGTTGAGGTCTGAATCAAAGTATGATACCCCCTCCCCCACCCCTGGTGTTTGCTGTAGTGCAAGATCTATTGACACAGACAACCCATCTGTTCGATTGTCAACCAGGACAAATCAATATCGTTTTCTTTCAGGTATTGTTTCTTGCACGTCCGCCTATTTTTCTACCGACTAATGATTCAATTTGCTTACGTCGCCGACAGTGGCGCAATGTTCGCCTTGCGAAGTGTCATTCATATATTACGTGTAACGCCTTTCTTTAGACGTTTTTTTTACGTCACAGAATCTGTTTATATGGGTCACTATGGCCGTGGTTCGCTATAGTTTACATAAGATAAAATTTAAATAATTAATAATTAAATAGATGGGGTGAAATGCGATAATGTTTACCTCCAACGTTTGAGGTAGGTTTGTTTATTATTTAAATATCATCTTGCATGTTGAAAATGTGATATAGGCTTTATCAAGTTAAACAGGGTAGTTTGTACCTTTTGGTAAAATATACTGTTTGCTTTGTTTCTTTGACAAAATGTAAGTGTATTTTAATCGTTAACGTACTAAACAAAGTGTGCTATAAGTTTAACAATATGAGAAGTGTTTTGTCCTATTTCCACATTGAAATTATTTTTTTTTTACTTTAAAAAAAATATGGTTAAATATTGTAATCGATAACTGTTTGAACATAGTGTTTGTACCTTTAAAAAAAAGGAAAATGTTAGTTTTATTACCTTTTAAAAACAAAATAGTTTTTTTGTAGATTGTTCAAATTGTGCCGTTTGTTTGTACATTTTAAAAAATTGAACAATGTTTTTTGTACCTTTAAGAGTTGACAGCTCAAATATTTGTTTTGGAGTAGGGTGCGGGTATCACCACCACCCCAAGCATGACGCCCTGATGCCGTGATATGTGGTATCACACAATCCGTGGTGTCACACAGTCATTTCACACTGAATGCCGTGATATCACACAACAATTGTACACTGAGTACCGTAATATCATACAACAATTTCACACCGAGTACCATGGTATCATACAACAATTTCACACTGAGTACCATGGTATCTTACAACTATTTCACACTGAGTACCGTGGTATCATACAACTATTTCACACTGAGTACCGTGGTATCATACAACTATTTCACACTGAGTACCGTGGTATCATACAACTATTTCACACTGAGTACCATGGTATCTTACAACTATTTCACACTGAGTACCGTGGTATCATACAACAATTTCACACTGAGTACCGTGGTATCACACAACAATTTCACACTGAGTACCGTGATATCATACAACAATTTCACACTGAGTACCGTGGTATCACACAACAATTTCACACTGAGTACCATGGTATCATACAACAATTTCACACTGAGTACCGTGGTATCATACAACTATTTCACACTGAGTACCGTGGTATCATACAACTATTTCACACTGAGTACCATGGTATCACACAACAATCTCACACTGAGTACCATGGTATCTTACAACTATTTCACACTGAGTACGGTGATATCATACAACAATTTCACACTGAGTACCGTGATATCATACAACAATTTCACACTGAGTACCGTGATATCATACAACAATTTCACACTGAGTACGGTGATATCATACAACAATTTCACACTGAATGCCGTGATATCACACAACAATTGTACACTGAGTACCGTAATATCATACAACAATTTCACACCGAGTACCATGGTATCATACAACAATTTCACACTGAGTACCATGGTATCTTACAACTATTTCACACTGAGTACCGTGGTATCATACAACTATTTCACACTGAGTACCGTGGTATCATACAACTATTTCACACTGAGTACCGTGGTATCATACAACTATTTCACACTGAGTACCATGGTATCTTACAACTATTTCACACTGAGTACCGTGGTATCATACAACAATTTCACACTGAGTACCGTGGTATCACACAACAATTTCACACTGAGTACCGTGATATCATACAACAATTTCACACTGAGTACCGTGGTATCACACAACAATTTCACACTGAGTACCATGGTATCATACAACAATTTCACACTGAGTACCGTGGTATCATACAACTATTTCACACTGAGTACCGTGGTATCATACAACTATTTCACACTGAGTACCATGGTATCACACAACAATCTCACACTGAGTACCATGGTATCTTACAACTATTTCACACTGAGTACGGTGATATCATACAACAATTTCACACTGAGTACCGTGATATCATACAACAATTTCACACTGAGTACCGTGATATCATACAACAATTTCACACTGAGTACGGTGATATCATACAACAATTTCACACTGAATGCCGTGATATCACACAACAATTGTACACTGAGTACCGTAATATCATACAACAATTTCACACCGAGTACCATGGTATCATACAACAATTTCACACTGAGTACCATGGTATCTTACAACTATTTCACACTGAGTACCGTGGTATCATACAACTATTTCACACTGAGTACCGTGGTATCATACAACTATTTCACACTGAGTACCGTGGTATCATACAACTATTTCACACTGAGTACCATGGTATCTTACAACTATTTCACACTGAGTACCGTGGTATCATACAACAATTTCACACTGAGTACCGTGGTATCACACAACAATTTCACACTGAGTACCGTGATATCATACAACAATTTCACACTGAGTACCGTGGTATCACACAACAATTTCACACTGAGTACCATGGTATCATACAACAATTTCACACTGAGTACCGTGGTATCATGCAACTATTTCACACTGAGTACCGTGGTATCATACAACTATTTCACACTGAGTACCATGGTATCACACAACAATCTCACACTGAGTACCATGGTATCTTACAACTATTTCACACTGAGTACCGTGGTATCATACAACAATTTCACACTGAGTACCGTGGTATCACACAACAATTTCACACTGAGTACCGTGATATCATACAACAATTTCACACTGAGTACCGTGATATCACGCAACTATTTCACACTGAGTACCATGGTATCACACAACAATTTCACACTGAGTACCGTGGTATCACACAACAATTTCACACTGAGTACCATGGTATCACACAACAATCTCACACTGAGTACCGTGGTATCACACAACAATCTCACACTGAGTACCGTGGTATCACACAACAATTTCACACTGAGTACGGTGATATCATACAACAATTTCACACTGAGTACCGTGATATCATACAACAATTTCACACTGAGTACCGTGATATCATACAACAATTTCACACTGAGTACCGTGATATCATACAACAATTTCACACTGAGTACCGTGGTATCATACAACTATTTCACACTGAGTACCGTGGTATCATACAACTATTTCACACTGAGTACCATGGTATCACACAACAATCTCACACTGAGTACCATGGTATCTTACAACTATTTCACACTGAGTACCGTGGTATCATACAACTATTTCACACTGAGTACCGTGATATCACGCAACTATTTCACACTGAGTACCATGGTATCACACAACAATTTCACACTGAGTACCGTGGTATCACACAACAATTTCACACTGAGTACCATGGTATCACACAACAATCTCACACTGAGTACCGTGGTATCACACAACAATCTCACACTGAGTACCGTGGTATCACACAACAATTTCACACTGAGTACGGTGATATCATACAACAATTTCACACTGAGTACCGTGATATCATACAACAATTTCACACTGAGTACCATGGTATCATACAACAATTTCACACTGAGTACCATGAATTTCTGCAAGAATGTCGCACGAAAGGCGTCAGTGTTGCCTGACGGAAACGATACGATTTCACGGAAAGTGGTTTTTAAAAAAGTATTAGCTTAACACACGGGCAAATACAAACTATGACCGATAATGATACCGTAGTACGCCCGTGATATTTGCAGAAGATGTCAAAGTTATGTTTGTGTAAATAGACGAAATGTGTCAAGTCAATATTTGGTATAATATATACAGACAGTATTTCACCGTTATTATTTCATTAACTCAACTGCCAGTTAACTCAAATATCAAACTTTCCATTTGGCAAATCTTCGTTGACATGGTCAATATCACATGTGTCTCTCTGTATTCAACACCCCTCCCTTCCTGACCCCCCTCCCCCCCTCTCCGAAGTGACGTCATTGTATTAATTATTGGATAAATATTGCACTCTTTGGCGGTGTATGAACGAAATCAACTAAGTCTTGAGAGATTCAGTTATGTTTTGAGTATGTTTTTTTTACCCAACCTTTTTGCAACAAATATCTGCAGTTGTATGTATATGTGAGTATGATTCATTATATATATATATATACATATATATATATATATATATATATATATATATATATATATAGTTAGACATATATTGTTGAAAGATTTATTTTTAGCATTACCTCGATTTAAAAGATTAACGTGTAGTCAACAACAACAACAAAAAAAAAAAAAAAAAAAAAAAAAAAAAAAAAAAAAAAAATAAATTAAAAAATAGCTTATAAAGTAGTAAACTGTGAAAACCAAGTCAATAACTTTAGATCATTCTCTAGTCTAAAACACGTCCATTGATGCACGCGTAAATTTAAATTAATCTTCATCAAACATGGGAGATAACTCCTCACCTTTGACTACTGTAACGGTGATAGAGGCGGAATAAACTAGCATATGTACACAACCATAGGCTCATGTGTAGGTTTGAGTAAACTCGGGCTGAGCTAATTAAGAGTGAGAAAAATGCATAAGTAACACAGCGTTAGGACGAGTATAAAAGAAAAGTTAACTTTTATAATTTTAGAAGAATTCAAGGTCAAGGTGTTGGTGTACCCAACGCGGTGACCCGTGACGTCAAGAGTATGTCGTCTGTTTACCCACACGCCCACGAGGTTAACTCCCTCGTCGGTTTTGACTGAAGGTCAGTCTTGTTATATATACAAAGATAAATTATTTTTTTAAATATTTCTCAGACTTGACTGAACTAGTTCTTTAAAGAAATTAATTATTCCTGTTTGAAATCTAGAACAGAAAGTCAGAAACTCTACTTTGTACACCTAGTTTTCTGGGCCAGGAACGGTCACTCGTGACTTACAGAGGGGACGTAACTCGTCTAATTTATAAGGTCCACTGGTACAAGTAGGTAAAGCTAAAGTCATTATTTTCCCACGTTTTCTTTAACTTGCTTTCTCTGTCTGTTTTTCCAATCCAATCTTGCGATCGAAATTTCTGGCACTTCCCAGTTAGCTAGCGCGCTGAAATTTTCAGGGAAGCTTTCTTTTGGATGACCATAGAATATTCAATTGTTATTATTACTAAATTGATCAATGGAAACATTTTATTGAGCATTTTAGACCGCTATATAATCTATATATATAATTCTCCTCTGCGAGCCATTAGAAAAAAAACCAGCGACGCGTAGCTAGCCTCTCTCTTGCCGCGCGCAGTGAAGCGAACGATCCCAAGTCGCGACAGGCTTAGGGGCAGATAATTTAGTTTTAACCGACTTTAAACTTACAGGAGGTAACTATTACCACTGGTGGCCAGTTTGGGGGAGACGATAAGGTCGAGTGGTTGGGCGCACGATTGCTATGGGGCTATCCCACTCGGCGCGGGTTCAAATCTATGTGTTCTAGTCAGTAACGTATTCACACAACGTGTTTTTTACGAGTTGTCTTTTTACTAGACTTTAATGCTATACAACTTTTACGAGATTTTAATGCAAACAAACAGACAAAGACTAAAAAGTAGAAAATAATAATCATTAAAAAAGTTTTAAAAAACCCACGTTTTCTGATTGAACTAAAAAGTAGAAAATAAATGCTATACATCACAATAATGCAAGCGATCACTCTACTATAAGCTATCAAAAACGTGGGGCGCCGTGATTTTCTTACAGTTTCTAATACTGTTGACTCTCTACAAGCTCCCTAATAAAAGTCAATAGTATTATCTAATCAATAGTAATATAACTTTTACTTCGGCGCCCCACGTTTTTGATCGCTTATAGTAGAGTGATCGCTTGCATTATTGTGATGTATAGCATTTATTTTCTACTTTTTAGTTCAATCAGAAAACGTGGGTTTTTTAAACTTTTTTAATGATTATTATTTATTGTTTGTCTATCGTAAAAAAAGAGCTCAATGAAATGAAATGATAGATTGAGTATGTATGCGGGTCATGGTGTGTGCCTTCGCAGCACTATGCCAAACCACCTTTGCTTTTCCTAACATGAGGTAGGTGCTACTGACGTAAATCGGATTCGAACACTAAACGTTTGGGTTAGCAGTCTCGCTCGCTACCGCTAGGCCACTCCGTCCCCGTGCGTTAATAACACAACTATAAGATAAAGCAGCTTCTATGGAGGTTTTAAAAAACAAACTTTGCAACCGGCAGTGACTTGGATACCAACAGTTGAGGTGGAGTTGAGTGGTCAAGTGGTCAGATGGGATTTGAACCATGATACATACAGACAGTAACAGTGAAGTGAACTGGTAAACCACACAACTACCAGGCCCTAGCACGCGGACAAAGACATCGCCAACAGTTGGATGTGCTATAAGTCACGTAGAGTGGTGGGGGAGGGTGGGGCGGGGGTAAGGATGGGTCTACTGATCAGTAAACTTTAGTAACAAATGCACAGACAACAGTAACTGGAGAAAGTAGAGACGGAGTTAAATTGTTCAAACATGCTTACAACTTTACAACAACACTACTCAGTGACGGGGAACACGTAGGCAAGTTGCTTAAGAATTTATCTATGGGTAAAGTTGTCTTAAATGTTGTCATTTATAAACAAATTGCGTAAAACTTGAATTGCTTTTAAAATTTGCGACGGTTTTTTTTAAACGAGGAATTTGATAACATCCGCGAAGAACAAGTAATAAAACAGTACTCGTATATCACACAACAGTACTCGTATATCACACAACAGTACTCGTAAATAACACAACAGTACTCGTATAGCTAGATGACATCGAAACATCAAGCCATTTCTTAACCCTAGCACAAACCAAATGCAAAACCCAAAACAAAACCTAATGACGTCAGATTAAAAGGGTTTGTTGGTGTTACTCGGATGGGGTTCAATGAAGTTGGATGGGTTTGGGTAGGGCAGGGTTGGGTTGGGTGGGGTTCAAGAAAAGTGAACTTGCGTATAGTTTATTCCTCTGAAAAGTCTGCACCTTGACCTTGCTTGAGATTGTAAATCAATGCGTTAGTGATTGACCTTGACCTAACTTGAAATCTGAACGTAATGTGGATCGTTGCTTTAACCTTGACCTAACTTGAAATCTGAACGCAATGTGGAGCGTTACTTTAACCTTGACCTACCTTAAGTTTCCAAAGTAAGCTTTTAATACATATAAAGCAAAGCCCAAAAAAAATTGTTTTCTTTTACTGTCGCCTTCTGCAAACAACCAACACGAACAGCACGTGTTTGACATTCAGCCACGCCCCCTCTGTTTGTCTCGCTGAACAATCGCGCTACATCTACGTCACTGCTCTGATGGATACCTAACTCATGTTGGGGAAACTAAGCTTAATACTGACCACACTATCCTCTTGTATACTGGCGTCATTGAAGCAAACGAACTCTACTACATCTGCCACGTATTTCTTTGGCAAAAACGGTAAAAAGACGATTTACTTAATAATATGTTAAACAAAACACATGCTAAAATGTCAAGATGTCTAGAAAAATACTGAACTACCAATGTCCAGCTATTGCATATATCTCTACAATGTTATGGTGTTTAGTCAACGCTGCACAGGCTAAAAATAGAACCATGATTGTGTTGACACAGTCGTTACGTGTTGTGTGAAATAAACAGCGAGTAAATCAATGCATTGCATCATCTGTACCCACGCTAATTAAAAAAAAAACTAATTAACGAAACATAGATAAAAAAATAATTAAAATACGCTATTCAGAATGTTTCACGTTTAGTTTAAAACGAAAAGAAGAAAGGCGTTTTGTTAAAAATACACTTTAATAATAATGACCCGTTGAAAACAATAACAATACAATCACGTAATTAACAAATCCGTCTCGTTAATAACAAATTGGATCACTTCAATAACAAATAGGATCACGTTAATAACAAATTGAGTCACATAAATAACAAATTGGATTACATCAACACCAACGAAACGAAACTAAAATACTGTATCAACTAATAGCACAAGACGATATCTTATTTTAAGCTCAGAGCTCATTGGATAGTTATTTTTTTAACTCAGAGTTTATTTCTACATATTAATTTGGACATTAATCCATTGGTTGCAAGTTACGGGGTATTTGAAAAGAAAGTACCATCGATATTCAGATACCAATATAAAAAAAAATAATTTTATTTGAACATTAATCCATTGGTTGCAAATTACGGGACATTTTTTTAATTGATGTTCTGAAACTAATTAAAAAATTTAAATATGATTCTATTTTTTTCAGCTCAAAAGCGCGGAGATGTACATTTTTAATCACAATTCTCGTAAGTTACCTAAACAAATATTTTAGTTTCTTGATGTATTATTTGTTTTTTTTCTTTCCAACTAAACAATATAAGGTAACAAATCCTCTTAATCAGGTTTCCCTGAAATACTATGAGCTGCAGGACACGCCATGATGTCTGATACAATATGCCCAGCAATGACCAGTAATAATTGTTGGGCCGTTTTTTATACATAGTATTGGTGGGCTCATGTAAAACATATTATATTACAGTAAAGCAGCATTTTTTTTCAAAATTGCTTTAAAAATTCAAAAAGTGCTGGGTTTCATTGGATAGTCTTTTGATTTGTTCAATGTTTAATCGAATGTGTTTCGATTATTACATTTTTAAAATGTCGATTTAATGCTTACATAATAAACGTCAAGTTGTTTGTTCGTACCATTTGTTCAGCTATTTATTCCATTTTCGTGAGTGTAGTCTGGTAGATAGTTATAGGTTGGAATAAAATATTTTACTGCTGGCAAGAATTGCTTTATTAAAGATTTTAAATAATTTTAAACATTCAGCGCGTCAAAAAAATAAAATAGGTTTGTTTCATATTTGTTTTTATTTATTTTTAAATAATTTAATTGCTGTGTTTTCGTTTTAGACGTTTTAGTAAAACTTGGGGTACGAAGCTAAACGATGCCCATAAATACCTCATAAACTTTAAAGGACTGAAATGTGCAAATGTGTCAACACTCCTCCCCCCCCCCCCCCCCACTCCATCTAACCACTTGTATAAAGTCAAGTCAACTACAACAGAGCCAACGGCTCGAGTTAGATAGTGATCTACATTTGATACAAAACCTTCCCTAGAATTATTTTTTAATTGCTGTTAAACCAGGCTACAGTTAATTTGTTTAGACATTTTTATTTCATTCAAATACAGTAAACGCGGATGGCGTCGTACATTTGTACCCCCCCCCCCCCCACCTCATTGCGCCCCAGCCCTTGACGTCATCTGCCCACTAGCCCAGGAAACGTGAGGTTGTTCCTGTAGCTGCTAGTAGTCAGGTAGGTAGGATCTCTCTCCCTCCTGGCGCTCGGCGTCCATCTTCTGTAGCAGGTACATGATCTCTTCAGCGCTTAACTCACTGGGGACCTGAGCGAGGTCAAGGATAGGGACAGGTGAAAATACGTCATCGTTTGAATTTGGGAGTTACAGTAATAATACATTGATGATGATGATGATGATGATGATGGTGATATATTAGTGATATAATAATGATGATGATGATGGTGATTATGATGATGATGTGTGCAGATTGTGATATAATAGTGATAACGATAAGGATAACGATAACGATAATAATAATGATACCGATAACGACAACGATAATAACAACGACAACGATAACGATACTAACGATAATGATTTTTATGATGATAACGGTGATGGTGATGCTGGTATGATATGATAATGTGATGATGATGATAATAATGATTACGACAACGAAAACAAAAATGACAAAGATAAGCTACAAAATAAACAAGACATTATCTAACAAATTCATAAGAGAGTGAAATCTACTTGGCCATGTAAAGAATGTGACACATCACTTTTTACTAATGTTACTATAGAAAAAAATGTGACAGTTACCATTTCTTCTAGTTCTTCATCTCGAGCTTCCAGCAGAGGATTGGAATAGAATTTTTGCTTGGTCTTAATCAGGGGTTTGTCTGCACCGGGGATAACACTGTAGGACAATAGAATTCAACACATTGTTTACATTACGACATAACACACTGTAGGACAATAGAGTTCAACACATTGTTTACATTACGACACAACACACTGTAGGACAATAGAATTCAACACATTGTTTACATTACGACACAACACACTGTAGGACAATAGAATTCAACACATTGTTTACATTACGACACAACAGACTGTAGGAAAATAGAATTCAACACATTGTTTACATTACGACACAACAGACTGTAGGACAATAGAATTCAACACATTGTTTACATTACGACACAACAGACTGTATGTAGGACAATAGAATTCAACACATTGTTTACATTACGACACAACAGACTGTAGGACAATAGAATTCAACACATTGTTTACATTACGACATAACACACTGTAGGACAATAGAGTTCAACACATTGTTTACATTACGACACAACAGACTGTAGGACAATAGACTTCAACACATTGTTTACATTACGACATAACACACTGTATAGGACAATAGAGTTCAACACATTGTTTACATTACGACACAACACACTGTAGGACAATAGAATTCAACACATTGTTTACATTACGACACAACACACTGTAGGACAATAGAATTCAACACATTGTTTACATTACGACACAACAGACTGTAGGACAATAGAGTTCAACACATTGTTTACATTACGACACAACACACTGTAGGACAATAGAATTCAACACATTGTTTACATTACGACACAACACACTGTAGGACAATAGAATTCAACACATTGTTTACATTACGACACAACAGACTGTAGGAAAATAGAATTCAACACATTGTTTACATTACGACACAACAGACTGTAGGACAATAGAATTCAACACATTGTTTACATTACGACACAACAGACTGTATGTAGGACAATAGAATTCAACACATTGTTTACATTACGACACAACAGACTGTAGGACAATAGAATTCAACACATTGTTTACATTACGACATAACACACTGTAGGACAATAGAGTTCAACACATTGTTTACATTACGACACAACAGACTGTAGGACAATAGACTTCAACACATTGTTTACATTACGACATAACACACTGTATAGGACAATAGAATTCAACACATTGTTTACATTACGACATAACAAACTGTAGGACAATAGAATTTAACACATTGTTTACATTACGACATAACACACTGTGGGACAATAGAATTCAACACATTGTTTACATTACGACATAACAGCCTGTAGGACAATATAATTCAACACATTGTTTAGATTACGACACAACAGACTGTAGGACAATAGAGTTCAACACATTGTTTACATTACGACACAACAGACTGTAGGACAATAGAATTTAACACATTGTTTACATTACGACACAACACACTGTAGGGCAATAGAGTTCAACACATTGTTTACATTACGACATAACACACTGTAGGACAATAGAATTTAACACATTGTTTACATTACGACACAACACATTAAATGACAATAGAATTCAACACATTGTTTACATTACGACACAACACACTGTATGTAGGACAATAGAATTCAACACATTGTTTACATTACGACACAACACATTAAAGGACAACAGAATTCAACACATTGTTTACAATACGACACAACAGACTGTAGGACAATAGAATTCAACACATTGTTTACATTACGACATAACACACTGTATAGGACAATAGAATTCAACACATTATTTACATTACGACACAACACACTGTATGTAGGTCAATAGAATTCAACACATGGTTTACATTACGACACAACACACTGTATGTAGGTCAATAGAATTCAACACATTGTTTACATTACGACATAACACACTGTATAGGACAATAGAATTCAACATATTGTTTACATTAAGACTCGACAGACTGAATAGACGAACTAAATAAGAAGCATATAACGAGAAGTGAAAGTTTCAGGTATTTCTTTATCACATGCGCTATTTAAAAAAAAAAACGATGATCTCTAAATAGTTTATGTAATACCACCACCACCCTAGAAAAATTGCTCGTGCTCCCGATTACAACTACCCAATGACCTAGACAAGGATGACCTAATAACGACCTGAATACTAGATCATCATCATCATGCCTCGCCGTATTGTGTTTGGCTAAGCCTTCTGATGCCTGCTAGGTTTTATCCCTACCTGTCTGAGACTAACACTTTACCTGATGGTGCTAGGCCTAGAGGTTGACCGTCTTACCTAATGGTGCTAGGCTGATGGTGCTAGGCTGATGGTGCTGGGCCTAGAGGTTGATGGCCTTACCTGATGGTGCTGGGCCTTTAGGTTGATGGCCTTACCTGATGGTGCTGGGCCTTTAGGTTGATGGCCTTACCTGATGGTGCTGGGCCTTACCTGATGGTGCTAGGCTGATGGTGCTAGGCTGATGGTGCTAGGCTGATGGTGCTAGGCTGATGGTGCTGGGCCTAGAGGTTGATGGCCTTACCTGATGGTGCTGGGCCTTACCTAATGGTGCTAGGCTGATGGTGCTAGGCTGATGGTGCTAGGCTGATGGTGCTAGGCTGATGGTGCTGGGCCTAGAGGTTGATGGCCTTACCTGATGGTGCTGGGCTGATGGCCTTACCTGATGGTGCTGGGCCTTTAGGTTGATGGCCTTACCTGATGGTGCTGGGCCTTTAGGTTGATGGCCTTACCTGATGGTGCTGGGCTGATGGCCTTACCTGATGGTGCTGGGCTGATGGCCTTACCTGATGGTGCTGGGCCTTTAGGTTGATGGCCTTACCTGATGGTGCTGGGCCTTTAGGTTGATGGCCTTACCTGATGGTGCTGGGCTGATGGCCTTACCTGATGGTGCTGGGCTGGGCCTTAAGGTTGATGGCCTTACCTGATGGTGCTAGGCCTTACCTGATGGTGCTGGGCTGGGCCTTAAGGTTGATGGCCTTACCTGATGGTGCTGGGCTGGGCCTTAAGGTTGATGGCCTTACCTGATGGTGCTGGGCTGGGCCTTAAGGTTGATGGCCTTACCTGATGGTGCTGGGCCTTTAGGTTGATGGCCTTACCTGATGGTGCTGGGTTGATGGCCTTACCTGATGGTGCTGGGCCTTTAGGTTGATGGCCTTACCTGATATTGCTGGGCTGATGGCCTTACCTGATGGTGCTGGGCTGGGCCTTAAGGTTGATGGCCTTACCTGATGGTGCTAGGCCTTACCTGATGGTGCTGGGCTGGGCCTTAAGGTTGATGGCCTTACCTGATGGTGCTAGGCCTAGAGGCTGATGGCCTTACCTGATGGTGCTGGGCTGGGCCTTAAGGTTGATGGCCTTACCTGATGGTGCTGGGCTGGGCCTTAAGTTTGATGGCCTTACCTGATGGTGCTAGGCCTAGAGGCTGATGGCCTTACCTGATGGTGCTGGGCTGGGCCTTAAGGCTGATGGCCTTACCTGATGGTGCTGGGCTGGGCCTTAAGGTTGATGGCCTTACCTGATGGTGCTGGGCTGGGCCTTAAGGTTGATGGCCTTACCTGATGGTGCTGGGCTGGGCCTTAAGGCTGATGGCCTTACCTGATGGTGCTGGGCTGGGCCTTAAGGGTGATGGTCTTACCTGATGGTGCTGGGCTGGGCCTTAAGGTTGATGGCCTTACCTGATGGTGCTGGGCTGGGCCTTAAGGTTGATGGCCTTACCTGATGGTGCTGGGCTGGGCCTTAAGGCTGATGGCCTTACCTGATGGTGCTGGGCTGGGCCTTAAGGTTGATGGCCTTACCTGATGGTGCTGGGCTGGGCCTTAAGGTTGATGGCCTTACCTGATGGTGCTGGGCTGGGCCTTAAGGTTGATGGCCTTACCTGATGGTGCTAGGCCTAGAGGCTGATGGCCTTACCTGATGGTGCTGGGCTGGGCCTTAAGGTTGATGGCCTTCTGGTCCTCAAAGTCCTCCCAGTACCAGGTCGGTGGGCCGTAGCTGGAGCATACGTCTTGCTGTAGTGTGGGGGGTGTGTTGACGTAGTACATGATGTAGAAGTTACACATCTCGTCGTTCTGGGTCGACCTGTGGTCAGTTGTCTTTCATTGTTAATTGTTTTCTCGGTAAATAGATTTTTTCATGTGTCTAAGTCAATTTATTTTTTGCTTTATTTTATGGTCTAAATAGAGTCGATTTTTTAAAAAATTATTATCTAAATAAATTTATTGTTTGTACTTATGGTATAAATAAATTGATTTTTTTAAATGCATGGTTTAAATAAATTGATTTTATGCAGAGTCTAAAACGTTATTTTTACGACTTTAAGTTTAACGAAAATTTTCTTTCTTTGAAAGTCGTTTTTTTTAGTTATTTTAGTCATTAGTCATTTTTTAGAGTTATTTGCGAGTCATTTTAGTCAACATTGATCGTATTGGTGTCATTTTTAGAATATTTTAGAAAGTCATTTTAGAATATGTATATGTGAGCACTAGACAAACATATTTACCCGATAGCCACGTCATGGTCTAGTGTGTTCTCCATAGTACAGCGAGCGGCCTGGTGACGCAGAAGGTGAAAGTTCAAGGTCAGGTATGGTCCAATAGAGTATGTGGGCGGGGGTATGATTGTTCAAGGTGTGGTCCATAAGATAGAGGGGGGGTGTCAAGATTTGGTCAAGTAGGACAGACATGGGGGGGGGGGGGGGGTCATGGCTGTTCAGTGTCAAGATTTGGTCAAGTAGACAAGGGGTGGGGAAAGTGGTTGTTCGTGGTCGATTTGGTCAAGTAGGACGGGGGGGGGGGGGCGACATTTTTCTTCAATGTCAAGACCTGGTCAAGTAGATATTGGGTGGGGACTCTTTAAAGAGACATTTGTTGACAAATACTTAAGTTTTCAGTAATGATAAATTAGGATATAGAAATATAATGAGTCTATGGCGATACTATGGGACGATAAGGACAACAACCTTACGATTTATAAAATCATAAAATACGAATACTATTAAATATTTATGAAGACAAGAAGTATGCTATCTCTATAGGGAATAGCTAGAATATCTCAGATTTAAAATGATTAATACAAATACTACACTAAACATTTTGAGTTTAGCCACAGCCAGCAATGTTTTACGGATAACCCATGGATACTGAAGGCAATTAGCATTGATCCAATATTGTCAATGACAACTACACAGTTTCACAAATTCTACAAGTGGACAAGTAACTTCAAACAGTCGCCCATAAGGTATGTGTACGTCACATGATCTCCACACTCACAAACGTCAATTCGTTTTTGTTTTGAAACTTCTTGGTTATAGAGACCGTCCACCAGAGGCGTAGCGAAGGGGAGGGTCGGGGAGGGGGGGTTTATATGTCCCCGGTGGACCCTAGGGTGTGCCAAAATGGGTTGAAAAAAAATTAAAAGCTCATTTTAGCTGCAGTTTTGCATTATAAATATATTAAAAATATACAAGGGGGGGGGGGCGCCAAATTAAAAGTTTTCCTGTGGGTGGGGGTTGCGGTGTGCCAAATTGAAAGTTTGTCCCCAGGCGCCGGGAAGGGCCTCTGCCGTCCACCTTTCTTATCAAAACACAACACCCACCATCAGCTGGTTTGTCGACATCAACACAGAACAGCTCAGTCAGCTCACAACTTACCAAAATATCGCCTTTCTTGATTGTGATTCCAGGATTTGTTACGTTATAAAACATCTGTAAATTTAAAAAAAAAGATTTTACTTTTTTTTTCTTTTTTTTTCTTTTCATAAAACATGGCTTACGATGTACTTATATACAAATTATAAATACATAGTAATTTTGAATATCTGATAATTAATGACCTCATGTGTTTTTAATACGTTAAGATTACATAAATACTTCAAATGTGCACCTTTAAAAAAAAACGGGAGACTATTCAAATTTATGTTTTTCCGACTCAGGAAGCTGTAAAACGTCGAGATTTGCAAAATAAATCTCCATTTTTTTTTTACACGATTACATTTACAAGACTTTCTCTATACTTTGTATATAAAGTAAAAAGGTACAAAAATAAGTAAAAGGGCAATATTCTAATTTAATTTGTTTTTACTAGAAAAACATTAATTTATCAATAATCTGCACTACTTTATGAAGCATTAACAACTTTAATTTCAATTCGTACAAAGAATATAATCAGTATGTTTGTTAACTTAATCATACTCTTGTTAAGTACTATTGTGTATTTGGTTTATAAATGACTTTTCGGCTTTTGGAATGGGAACAACAACATAGTTCTAGCTGTTGTGTTTATTTGTGTTTATATTGAGATGTGGATCATAATCCGTGTCTAGATGTGTTTACTTTGTGATATGGATGTTCATAATCTGTGTCTAGCTGTTAAATTTTTTTTCTGATGTGGATGTTCATAATCTGTGTCTAGCTGTTGTATTTATTTTGTGATGTGGATGTTCATAATCTGTGTCTAGCTTTTGTGTTTATTTTGTGATGTGGATGTTCATAATCTGTGTCTAGCTTTTGTGTTTATTTTGTGATGTGGATGTTCATAATCTGTGTCTAGCTTTTGTGTTTATTTTGTGATGTGGATGTTCATAATATGTGCCTAGCTGTTGTGTTTATTTTGTGATGTGGATGTTCATAATATGTGTCTAGCTTTTGTGTTTATTTTGTGATGTGGATGTTCATAATATGTGTCTAGCTTTTGTGTTTATTTTGTGATGTGGATGTTCATAATCTGTGTCTAGCTGTTGTGTTTATTTTGTGGTGTGGATGTTCATAATCTGTGTCTAGATGTTGTGTTTATTTTGTGATGTGGATGTTCATAATCTGTCTAGATTATCGATATGTATATATATATATATTAAAAGAATGAATGAGTTACAACCTTTAGATCGATATCCGCTACTAAACAATGAATGTGTTACAACCTTTAGATGTATATCCGCTACTAAACAATGAATGTGTTACAACCTTTAGATCTATATCCGCTACTAAACAATGAATGTGTTACAACCTTTAGATGTATATCCGCTACTAAACAATGAATGAGTTACAACCTTTAGATCTATATCCTCTACTAAACATTGAATGGGTTACAACCTTTAGATTTATATCCGCTACTAAACAATATACGGGTTACAACCTTTAGATCTATATCCTCTACTAAACATTGAATGGGTTACTACCTTTAGATCTATATCCGCTACTAAACAATGAATGTGTTACAACCTTTAGATCTATATCCGCTACTAAACAATGAATGTGTTACAATCTTTAGATCTATATCCGCTACTAAACAATGAATGTGTTACAATCTTTAGATCTATATTCGCTACTAAACAATGAATGAGTTACAACCTTTAGATCTATATCCGCTACTAAACAATGAATGTGTTACAACCTTTAGATGTATATCCGCTACTAAACAATGAATGAGTTACAACCTTTAGATCTATATCCTCTACTAAACATTGAATGGGTTACAACCTTTAGATCTATATCCTCTACTAAACAATATACGGGTTACAACCTTTAGATCTATATCCGCTACTAAACAATATACGGGTTACAACCTTTAGATCTATATCCTCTACTAAACATTGAATGGGTTACAACCTTTAGATCTATATCCGCTACTAAACAATGAATGTGTTACAACCTTTAGATCTATATCCGCTACTAAACAATGAATGTGTTACAACCTTTAGATCTATATCCGCTACTAAACAATGAATGTGTTACAACCTTTAGATCTATATCCGCTACTAAACAATGAATGTGTTACAACCTTTAGATCTATATCCGCTACTAAACAATATACGGGTTACAACCTTTAGATCTATATCCTCTACTAAACATTGAATGGGTTACTACCTTTAGATCTATATCCGCTACTAAACAATGAATGTGTTACAACCTTTAGATCTATATCCGCTACTAAACAATGAATGTGTTACAATCTTTAGATCTATATCCGCTACTAAACAATGAATGTGTTACAATCTTTAGATCTATATTCGCTACTAAACAATTAATGTGTTACAACCTTTAGATATATATCCTCTACTAAACAATGAATGTGTTACAATCTTTAGATCTATATCCGCTACTAAACAATGTATGTGTTACAACCTTTAGATCTATATCCGCTACTAAACAATGAATGTGTTACAACCTTTAGATCTATATCCGCTACTAAACAATGAATGTGTTACAACCTTTAGATCTATATCCGCTACTAAACAATGAATGTGTTACAACCTTTAGATCTATATCCGCTACTAAACAATGAATGTGTTACAACCTTTAGATCTATATCCTCTACTAAACAATGAATGGGTTACAACCTTTAGATCTATATCCTCTACTAAGCAATGCACGGGTTACAACCTTTAGATCTATATCCTCTACTAAACAATGAATGGGTTACAACCTTTAGATCTATATCCGCTACTAAACAATGAATGTGTTACAACCTTTAGATCTATATCCGCTACTAAACAATGAATGTGTTACAACCTTTAGATCTATACCCTCTACTAAACAATGAATGGGTTACAACCTTTAGATCTATATCCTCTACTAAGCAATGCACGGGTTACAACCTTTAGATCTATATCCTCTACTAAACAATGAATGGGTTACAACCTTTAGATCTATATCCGCTACTAAACAATGAATGTGTTACAACCTTTAGATCTATATCCGCTACTAAACAATGAATGTGTTACAACCTTTAGATCTATACCCTCTACTAAACAATGAATGGGTTACAACCTTTAGATCTATACCCTCTACTAAACATTGAATGGGTTACAACCTTTAGATCTATACCCTCTACTAAACAATATCCGCTAATAAACAATAAATGAGTTACAACCTTTAGATCTATATCCGCTACTAAACAATGAATGAAGTGTATGTCATATCTGATCAAGCCATTGAACAACACAACGTTGACCCTAACCTCGGGGAGTCTGGGGTCCTTCCTGCCAATCTCCGTCCACTTGCCGTCGCGTACCCGGTACCCGGAGATGACGCGACCTGTTCGTGAGCACATTTTAAATTATAGCTCACGTGACCTAACTTAAGATGATGGGGTCAAAGGTCGAATACGAAATGTCATCAGAAAATTTTTTTATAAAAACCAAATTCCTGAGAAATGTGTTGTCACTGTTAAGTAACAAATCTAGTGCCACTGTAATTGTTAAGTAACAAATTTACTGCCATTGTAATTGTTAAATAACAAATTTACTGCCACTGTAATTGTTAATTAACAAACTTACTGCCACTGTAATTGTTAAGTAAAAATTTACTGCCACTGTAATTGTTAAATAACATACCTAGTGCCACTAATTTTTAAGTAACAAATCTAGTGCTACTGTAATTGTTAAATAACAAATCTAGTGACACTGTAATTGTTAATTAACAAACTTACTGCCACTGTAATTGTTAAGTAAAAATTTACTGCCACTGTAATTGTTAAATAACATACCTAGTGCCACTAATTTTTAAGTAACAAATCTAGTGCTACTGTAATTGTTAAATAACAAATCTAGTGACACTGTAATTGTTAAATAACAAATCTAGTGCTACTGTAATTGTTAAATGACAAATCTAGTGCCACTGTAATTGTTAAATAACAAATCTAGTACCACTGTAATTGTTAAGTAACAAATCTAGTGCTACTGTAATTGTTAAATAACAAATCTAGTGCCACTGTAATTGTTAAATAACAAATCTAGTGCCACTGTAATTGTTAAATAACAAAACTATTGCCACTAATTATTAAATAACAAATCTAGTGCCACTGTAATTATTAAATAACAAATCTAGTACCACTGTAATTGTTAAGTAACAAATCTAGTGCCACTGTAATTGTTAAATAACAAATCTAGTGCCACTGTAATTGTTAAATAACAAACCTATTGCCACTAATTATTAAATAACAAATCTAGTACCACTGTAATTATTAAATAACAAATCTAGTACCACTGTAATTATTAAATAACAAATCTAGTACCATTGTAATTATTAAATAACAAATCTAGTACCACTGTAATTATTAAATAACAAATCTAGTACCACTGTAATTGTTAAGTAACAAATCGAGCACTACACGTGTGTCCTACCTAGCGTATGCGCGTGGGTCCTGTAAGCGAAAGGGATTATCTCAATGTCCTCTGGCATTTCACAGGCCACTTCAAAGTATTCTGGGGGCAAAGGTCACGACATGAGGCATTTAGACAACAATCAAATTACCCTATGCAATGTGTGTAGGCCTACTTGTAGTTTTGTGTGGGCTCGTAGATTAGACATTCTGTGTTATTATATAGATTGTGTATCTCTATATGGCAGATTAGTACTCAATTCTGTTTCCCTATCACAAGCCGTGTATTCCCAAATTTATGTACTCTCTATATCACAAAGCGTGTATTCCCAATGGTGAGTGCTTAAATAACGACTGACTTTACACCGGTGACCTTACTCCAGCGTGTACACGTCACTTACCTGTTGTGTGGGCCCTTATGACTCCATCAGTCACCATAAGGTAAACACCTGCCTCTTTAGGTGTCCTGTAATAATGATTTTAAAAAAAAACGTTAGTTCTAACACGTTGACAATACGTTGTATGTTTACTTTTGGTAAGGAAACATAATACATCAAATGTTTCTTTCAAATTGATTGTAAACAATTATCACTATTTTTACTGAAAATATTGTAATTGTTCCTATAAAGATTGTACCTTATATAGATTATCTTATACAGATTCTATCTTATAAAGATTATACCTTATATAGATTCTTTCTTGTAAAGATTCTACCTTATATAGATTCAATCTTATAAAGATTCTATCTTATAAAGATTCTATCTTATACAGATTCTATCTTATAAAGATTCTATCTTATACAGATTCTATCTTATAAAGATTCTATCTTGTAAAGATTCTATCTTATATAGTATCTACACAAAGTAATTTTTTGAAAAAATAACATACGCTGTCTGGGTGGTAATTAGAGTAAGACCCGAGCTGTCTTTTTGATTTACTGCACATGTAAAACAAACATTTTAATTAGTATACGTATGATTGTTCATGTAAAACAGGGGTTCCCAACCCCGTGCCCGCCCGCCGAACGATTCGTTTGTGCCCGCCTCTCACTATTCGACAGAGACAGAATTTTTTTCATAAACATTATTGAGAGGTTGAAGGGGATGGAAATCGAAAGTTTGAGGGGTGGTTGGGGGGGGTGCAAATCGAAAGTTTGAGGGGGGGTGCAAATCGAAAGTTTTGTCCCCGGGTGACGGGAAGGGTCGCTACGCCTCTGGAAGGAGTTTGTCGATTTAAAATAGGTGGTGCCCGCCACCCTACCGATATTTTAAAATGTGCTCTAGAGTAAAAAAAAAAAGGTTGGGAACCCCTGATGTAAAATAAAACATTTTAACTAGTATACGTGTAATAGTTTATGTAAAACAAAACATTTGAATTAGTATACGTGAAGAATGTGATGTAAATATTTAGGTAGTGTGGATAAAAGTTGATAACTGATGAAAGTGGATTGTTGATGAAAGTGGATAATTGATGAAACTGGATAGTTAATTAGATTAGATTATTTAACAAAGTTTTTCGCATGCTGATTGTTGAGAGGTTGTATGTTGGTTATATGTTGGTTGTATGTTGGTTGTATGTTGGATGTATGTTGGTTGTATGTTGGTTGTATGTTGGTTGTATGTTGGTTGTATGCTGGTTGTATGTTGGTTGTATGTTGGTTGTATCAAAATGTTGTAGTTGTAAGGCATGCAGCAGTGATGGAGCTGAACGACGTGCAGCATGTAGGTGCCGTCCACCCCCCCCCCCCCCCCCCGTACTCACGTGGTGGCTTGAAGCTGGTCACGTTCTTGTAATGCACCTGTAAGACCAGGTATTTGATGGGCGTTTTCTGTCCCACGTCGAAACTCACATCTGTTGTGGGGGGGGGGGGGGGGGTGATAAAAAACAAAGTTTATGTGGGTTAAATATTAGTAGGTTTACGTTAATTAGATGACTAGGGTTGTGGGGTTTATGGTAATCGTCAACATTAGCCATGATCAAATCGTTAACAGAGTTAGTCGCAAAAAAAAACATTCTCATACATTACATGATAGAATTAATAATGAAAGTATTATTAGACAATTTATGCGAATTTATTTTAGTATATAGTTGAGTTCATACGAGATTAGTCATAAAATTAAACTCTAAAGCTGTGTATTTTTTAAATATTCATAAACTATGTTAGCCTTATTACCAAAGTATTGTGCATGCTTTACGGACATGTACAGTCGTTTTCGAAATCGTCAGTTCGGTTATCGTTTAACTACAAACCTAACCTAAGCCTAAACCTTTAAATAAGGCTTAATATAACCATGTTTTATTAATGTGAGAGGTTTTTCAAAAAGAAATGTGTCTCGCTGATGAGGGAAGCTGTTTTCCTTTTAATTTAACCTAGGAAATAACCTTTACAATTCAATGATGAATACTTGCTGATATTAATTTCATAAATTAAAACAAGTTAATAAAAAGTCTAGTAACAATTTAAGCGCAATTTCCTTATGTTAGCCATAACAATTTTAAATCGAGATAAATCATATATTCAGCAAATAAGTAATGCAACACAAGTAGTTTTAATAATTCAAAACAAAACAGAAAAAATATTTATTAACGAGATTTTAAAAAAATTGCGGACGTGTAGGGGGTATTTAGGGGGTATTTAGTTGTCGCGCTCTCTATATTGCTATACAGAACTGCTCGCGCAGTTCGCTGCTAAGCCAGCCAGGTCACATGATTTACCCTCCTCCTCCTTCGCCTTCCACTGCCTTATTTGCTATATAGTACTGTAATGTATTATGTATAATTTAATTTAAAAAAAAATGTTGTGACCGAACGAAAGGATTTTTTGAAAACTTTCTTCGGCATTATTGTTCTAAATTATGGCAGGAATCGATTGGTAAATGTTTCAAGTCGCTAAGTGGTCTGGTTGCCGAGATATGGGCCAAAAACTGCATTTTTTTCGAGGTTTTTTGGCTTTTCCGGGAAATCCAGGAAGGAATTCCGGAAATTATTTTGGCCCACAATCATCCTCGGAACTTGCTTAACATATTTGCTTTTGGAACTAGTCCTCGATATTGCTTCGTTGAGGAGGAGATACGACTTAAAGCTGCGGACATCCATCCGTCCATTCCCAGAAATGACGAGTTAATAAACGCAATTCTCCAGAATGGAAATTGCGCTAAAAAACAATTATGTGTGGGAAAAGGTATACGATATTTTTACTAAAAAAATAGTAAAACAAAATTGTATGGAAACAATGTAGGCCCTATTTGTGTAAGGAAACTTTTTCATCGCCAAAAAAAAAGTCAAATATTTAATTTTGATTCAGATGTCGAGTCACGTCAGATGCATCTCTCTCACACACCCTACCACAAACACTCACACTCATAGAAACACACAATAAAACGCACTCTCCCCCACACCCCTAACACACACACACATTGATATTTAATCTTTCCCCCGATACGACGCGAGATTGGCCACCTACGGCAATCAGGCTTTATATTGGCCTCATCGATCTTTGTCAGCCATGTTTGCTAGCCTGGAGCTATTTTTAGCCACCACCCACGGATGCTAACAAACCATCGGTTCCCTCAACCTCATACCCTGGCTCTAAGCTTATATTAATAGTCTGTGGGGTGGTATATATATATATATATATATATATATATATATATATATATATATATATATATATATATATATATATATATATATATATATATATATATATATATATATATACTTATACGTATACAATAAAATTATCGAACTAACGCTATAACAAACATAACCTGTAGCAAACAGTGAAGTAAAACGTATTTATACCAACAGCTGCGTAATAATGTGCACGTGAGTTTTAATCTTGCCCTCACCATGTGCAGTTTGATACATGGGACAGGTTAAGACAAGGGGTAGGTTGATTCACCTGGGGTGGGGTGACACCTGGGGGCAGGTAACACTAAGGTGGAGTGACCTGGGGGCAGGTAAGACTCATGTTGGCTCAGCTATAGGGAGGTTTAGACGCGGAGTCAGGTAGACACCTCGGTCAGGTTGACTCACCTAGGGGGCAGGTAAGACTCATGTTGACTCACCTGGGTAGGTACGTCTAAGGTTGACTCACCTAGGGGCAGGTAAGTCTAAGGTTGACTCACCTAGGGGCAGGTAAGTCTAAGGTCGACTCACCTGGGCAAGTAAGACTTATGTCGACTCACCTGGGCAGGTAAGACTCATGTCGACTCACCTGGGCAGGTAAGACTCATGTCGACTCACCTGGGCAGGTAAGACTTATGTTGACTCACCTGGGAAGGTAAGACTCATGTCGACTCACCTGGGCAGGTAAGACTCATGTTGACTCACCTGGGCAGGTAAGACTCATGTTGACTCACCTGGGCAGGTAAGACTCATGTTGACTCACCTGGGCAGGTAAGACTCATGTTGACTCACCTGGGGGCAGGTAAGACTAAGGTCGACTCACCTAGTCGACTCATGTTGACTCACCTGGGGGCAGGTTAAGACGTGGAGCCTCCATGGCCCAGGCGTAGAGTATCCTACTCCCTTCAGCACAGACGCTGCCCTTCTGATAGTTCCTGGTCGTTGTGGACATCTCACCACAGTCCCTGAAACAACACAACACATTCTGTATTGGTAGCCTCACACACCACATTCTGTATGGGTAGCCTCAACACATCACATGCTGTATTGGTAGCCTCGACACACCACATTTTGTATTGGTAGCCTCGACACATCACATGCTGTATTGGTAGCCTCGACACACCACATTCTGTATGGGTAGCCTCAACACATCACATTCTGTATTGGTAGCCTCACACACCACATTCTGTATGGGTAGCCTCAACACATCACATGCTGTATTGGTAGCCTCGACACACCACATTTTGTATTGGTAGCCTCAACACATCACATGCTGTATTGGTAGCCTCGACACACCACATTTTGTATTGGTAGCCTCAACACATCACATGCTGTATTGGTAGCCTCGAACTAAACACACCACACTCTGTATTAGTAGCCTCAAACACACCACATTCTGTATTGGTAGCCTCAAACACACCACATTCTGTATTGGTAGCCTCAAACACACCACACTCTGTATTGGTAGCCTCGACACACCACATTCTGTGTTGGTAGCCTCGACACACCACATTCTGTATTGGTAGCCTCGACACACCACATTCTGTATTGGTAGCTTCAAACACACTACATGCTGTATTGGTAGCCTCGACACACCACATTTTGTATCGGTAGCCTCAACACACCACATTATGCATTGGTAGCCTCAACACATCACATTCTGTATTGACAGCCTCAAACACACCACATTTTGTATTGGTAGCCTCAAACACACCTTTTTCTGTATTGGTAGCCTCGACACACCACATTTTGTATCGGTAGCCTCGACACACCACATTCTGTATTGGTAGCCTCACACACCACATGCTGTATTGGTAGCCTCAAACACACCACATGATGCATTGGTAGCCTCAACACACCACATTCTGTATTGGTAGCCTCGACACACCACATTCTGTATTGGTAGCCTCAAACACACCACATTCTTTATTGGTAGCCTCGACACACCACATTCTGCATTGGTAGCCTCGACACACCACATTCTGCATTGGTAGCCTCGACACACCACATTCTGTATTGGTAGCCTCGACACACCCTATTTTGTATTGGTAGCCTCGACACACCACATTCTGTATTGGTAGCTTCAAACACACCACATGCTGTATTGGTAGCCTCGACACACCACATTTTGTATCGGTAGCCTCAACACACCACATTATGCATTGGTAGCCTCAACACATCACATTCTGTATTGGCAGCCTCAAACACACCACATTTTGTATTGGTAGCCTCAAACACACCTTTTTCTGTATTGGTAGCCTCGACACACCACATTTTGTATCGGTAGCCTCGACACACCACATTCTGTATTGGTAGCCTCACACACCACATGCTGTATTGGTAGCCTCAAACACACCACATGATGCATTGGTAGCCTCAACACACCACATTCTGTATTGGTAGCCTCGACACACCACATTCTGTATTAGTAGCCTCAAACACACCACATTCTTTATTGGTAGCCTCGACACACCACATTCTGCATTGGTAGCCTCGACACACCACATTCTGTATTGGTAGCCTCAAATACACCACATTTTGTATTGGTAGCCTCAACACACACCACTTTTGTATTGGTAGCCTCGACACACCACATTCTGTATTGGTAGCCTCGAACTAAACACACCACATTTTGTATTCGTAGCCTCGAACACACCACATGCTGTATTGGTAGCCTCAAACACACCACATTCTGTATTGGTAGCCTCGACACACCACATTTTGTATCGGTAGCCTCAACACACAACATTATGGATTGGTAGCCTCAACACATCACATTCTGTATTGACAGCCTCAAACACACCACATTTTGTATTGGTAGCCTCAAACACACCTTTTTCTGTATTGGTAGCCTCGACACACCACATTTTGTATCGGTAGCCTCGACACACCACATTCTGTATTGGTAGCCTCACACACCACATGCTGTATTGGTAGCCTCAAACACACCACATGATGCATTGGTAGCCTCAACACACCACATTCTGTATTGGTAGCCTCGACACACCACATTCTGTATTGATAGCCTCAAACACACCACATTCTTTATTGGTAGCCTCGACACACCACATTCTGCATTGGTAGCCTCGACACACCACATTCTGCATTGGTAGCCTCGACACACCACATTCTGTATTGGTAGCCTCGACACACCACATTATGCATTGGTAGCCTCAACACATCACATTCTGTATTGGCAGCCTCAAACACACCACATTTTGTATTGGTAGCCTCAAACACACCTTTTTCTGTATTGGTAGCCTCGACACACCACATTTTGTATCGGTAGCCTCGACACACCACATTCTGTATTGGTAGCCTCACACACCACATGCTGTATTGGTAGCCTCAAACACACCACATGATGCATTGGTAGCCTCAACACACCACATTCTGTATTGGTAGCCTCGACACACCACATTCTGTATTAGTAGCCTCAAACACACCACATTCTTTATTGGTAGCCTCGACACACCACATTCTGCATTGGTAGCCTCGACACACCACATTCTGTATTGGTAGCCTCAAATACACCACATTTTGTATTGGTAGCCTCAACACACACCACTTTTGTATTGGTAGCCTCGACACACCACATTCTGTATTGGTAGCCTCGAACTAAACACACCACATTTTGTATTCGTAGCCTCGAACACACCACATGCTGTATTGGTAGCTTCGAACTAAACTCTCTGGTAACTTAAGCTCTGCTAGAAAACCTAATCTCTCTTAATATACATAAGCTTTTCCATCCGATCTAGGCTCTTTGGTTATATATAAGCTCTTTTAGCAGTCCTAAGTTCCTTCATAAATAAATAAATTATTTTGGTTATTTTATTTATAAACGTAAGTTCTGCTATTATAAATAAGCCATGTGATCATATTTAAGCTCTGTTCTAAGACTTAAGCTCTGCTAGATGATCAAAGCTCTGTTTTCATACCTAAGCTTCAATTGCTAATGTAGGTTTCAACAACAAATCGATTGCCTAGAGGCAATGGAAGACTTGTATGAGATATACTCATCTGGTTATTTAGCAACATATACATACAACCAAAACATAAACTGACCATATCATATACATATCACCAAAACATAAACTGACCATATCATATACATATCACCAAAACATAAACTGACCATATCACATGCATATCACCAAAACATAAACTGACCATATACCATACATATCACCAAAACATAAACTGACCATATCACATGCATATCACCAAAACATAAACTGACCATATCATATACATATCACCAAAACATAAACTGACCATATCATATACATATCACCAAAACATAAACTGACCATATCATATACATATCACCAAAACATAAACTGACCATATCATATACATATCACCAAAACATAAACTGACCATATCATATACATATCACCAAAACATAAACTGACCATATCATATACATATCACCAAAACATAAACTGACCATATCATATACATATCACCTAATCATTAACTTACCATATAGATTCTGGGTCACCTCCTGGGTATTCGCAGCCATACAAAAGTATATGATGGGCAATGTTGGCGTTAGCAGTGGGAACAAATCCAGCTGGGGTGGAAAGATATATATATATATATATATATATATATATATATATATATATATATATATATATATATATATATTTATTTATTTATTTATTTATTTATGTGTGTGTATGTGTGTGTATAATTGGCTGTGGGTGTGTATATATATATACATATATATATATATATATATATATATATATATATATATATATATATATATATATATATACATATATATATATATATATATATATATATATATATATATATATATATATATATGGGTGTGTATGGGTGCGCGTGCGTGCGTGCATGTGTAAGTTCGTGAGTGAAAAGTGCGTTCATGGGTGTGCCACTATATTGTGTAAAAAAAACTTGTAAATATACTAATTACAACTATTCAACGAGTTTGAGGCATATTTCAGAACTGACTGAAGGTCTTTTTTTAGTTACACTTGACCCCCTTGTTTTATTTTACGGGCATAAAAAACATTGTTGTTATAAATTATAAATAAACTAAAGGAAAGATGTATTTAATTGGATGACGTTGCTACAGAGGCCATATTTCTCATTGCAGGTAGCCCCCTATTTGGTATCTAATTAATAAATAACATAACTATAAACTATTTTTTAAACTTGTAAATGATCTGACAAAAACTTGTAAATGATCTGAACAAAACTTGTATATGATGTGATCAAAACTTACTAATGTACTTGTGAGCCTCCTCTACCTTCATGGCCTTACATAGGTATGTGTCGGGCTGTGGATTTTATAATACACATTTTTAATTACAGGTTAGCGTATTCAAATTATAAATTATGTACATTATAATTACATTACAGCATTTCATTTTTAATGCCCATTAAACCATTATGATAATCCCCAATTTATTATATAGGCCCGTTAATATATTCTAACGATTCGTTAATATTTTCGAACTACCCCATTAATATTTTCTAATTACAGATTTTAGTGCTGAGGTCGATTGAGATTTTTTCAGTAGTATGTAACAAAACTAACTCAAATGAATGGCCTTCCCGAGTTCGAAACCCGAGCAGAATGGGCTCAAAAGTTGGGGACAGCAACCCATCTAGGAGAGACAACTCTAAAGTCAAACAAACAACTGTTCCATGTAGATTGTTCTTGGATGGATAAAGACTATGGAAGCAAAACCTAAAAGAAATGCGGCTGACATTGCTGATATCAATTTCGTCAAATAAAATAAAAACATGATATCTACTCACATCATCTAACATGTCGTCTAACATGTCATCTAACATGTCATCAAACATGTCATCTAACATGTCATCTAACATGTCGTCTAACATGTCGTCTAACATGTCATCTCACATGTCGTCTAACATGTCATCTCACATGTCATCTAACATGATATCTACTCACATCTTGTGGTTGTACTTGGGGCATCAAAAAACTGATCTCAGTCACAGCATTAGGGGGTGGGGCAGCTACAGCAACACCTAGTGACATCACCAAGATGGCGGGTATTATGGCCGCCATTTTTATCTGGAAAGGAAATAATTGCGTTTAATTTCAATACAAGATATATATATATATATATATATATATACTGTTTTCTAAAAGCTGCTTTCACATCAGAAAATTTAAACTTCCCTCTTCTGAAACCAAAAATTAACCAAAGACCTAACAAGTTCTTGAACCAAAGTTCCACCAGACTAGAACTGGTCATTATATCGTAGGTTAAGTTAAGTTACACTTTCGCACCCAGCGGTCCAGAAGATGGAGTAGAGTTAACCTTTCACTGTTACCTCGGCATAAGAAGGAATACTGAGGTCAGCACTATTCCCAGCCACCGTTACCTAACGTGAGTCAGGTACCCATCAGGGCTGGGTGGTCTCAATGATAGCCTACGGACGCGAACCGAGATTCGAACGAGAAACTTTCGAGTTAGTTGTCGTAACCTCTACCACGTAGCTGTTATACTACTTGTATATATAACATTTATTTTATACTTGCGTAGTCGAGCTAATCAAAACCACGGAAAGTTAAGACAGTTTCAAAATCTATTTATAGACCTTTCATTCACGAATGAAAGGTTATAATTAGATCTAGGAGACAAATCTCAGTTACAAGTTAAAGCTTTCAATTTAAAAAAATGTAGGCTACTTTTAGATTTGCAATCAATATTAGATAATCAAAATGTTTATAAATAGCATCGATAAATGGGGAACTCGCGTCATTTCCTTTGCTGAACAGTGCGCATGACATTGCAGAGTTATCCAATATGAAACCCACCAGTATTGATTCAAAGGAATTGATCACCTCCAAGAATGTTACACGGCAAGATTATATATAATTAACATCCGATCACCAATCGATACAACGAATCTTATTGTATTGATTTTTAAAAAAATTAATTAGTTACGACACAAGAATGTGAGGTCACTTAAGGTGAACTTAAATCCTGCACATGCGGGTTGGTGAAGAATGTGCCTACAGCACACTATCACACAAACTTTCATACACACACACTCATACAAACACTCAAACACATACAGAAACATGGACACGCACTCATACACACACACACACTTACACAAAAACAACCACTCACATACATATGCAGGAAGTGGCTGTAGCACTCCTCCACAAACACACAAACTCATACAAACACACACATAAAAAATACACACACACACACACACACGCAAACTCCGACACACCCGTTAGTTACCCAGATTTATCTTTGACAATCCCACACACACACACACGCGCGCGCATACAGACCTACACATTCACACTTGTTACCCAAAATAATAGTAGAGATTTGTGTTTGATAATCACACAATCACACCCATACACGCATACACACTCACTTACACACACATACACTCACACACTCACATACACACTTACATACACACACACGCTCACACTAGTTAGTTATCTAAACATAACCTGAACATCTGCCTACAGATAGAAGCTCAGCGAATGCATTGATTAGCTATCCGCTTGGGGCGACAGAATCAATTTCATGTATCAATTGTAATGCACCATAAAACAATATTAACAAATACTTAAACTGGCACGATATGCTATCTATAATTTGCTTGATAATTAAAACCAAATACACATAACGTGGCTTAAGCGGTAGAGCGCTAGACGGTTAACACGAAAGTCTCAATTGCGAATACGGGTTCTTGTCAGTAGAATGTCCCTGAGTCCACCCAGCTCTGATGTGTACCTGACTCACGTTAGGGAAAGTAAAGGTGGCTAAGCAAAGTGCTGGCCACACCTTCCCTTCATTTGCGGAGGCCAAGAAATATAAGAGCTCTACTTCATCTGCCCAATGGATCGCTAGGTCTAAAGAGGATTCCTTATACACAACGCTTGCTGTATTTTATAGCCCAAGTTGTAATACATATTGGGGGTAGGGGGTGCTAGTGTTTGATTATGTTTTGGTTTGAATTAGTTAATTGGCTAACGTTAACCTTTAACCGAATCCAACATGTCCAATAAAGTGACAAAAGAGAGTCACATTGCGTCATACGTTGCTGACTCTAGATTCAATAGCTCAGTGTCAAATACCCTGAGCCTCATTACGCTAATTAATCAAAGATTTTGTACGCTTCGTTTTTAAATCGTAAAAATGCCTGTGTTCGAATCCGATGAAGCCCTAAGGTACAAAAAACAAACCAAGAACAAATAATGAACATCGCAAAAAGCTTGACCAGTCGAGTACTCAACATGGCCAGCTAATTAATCACAAGGGAGTGTTGGGGCTCAAGGACACGAGCACAACAACAGGACAAAGCTTTCAGGACATTTGGGAACATTGGTCGATATTTGGAACACTTCTTTGGTAGACCCAGTTCAAACATCAGCCAGTAACAATAGGTCCATATGTGTTTCGATGTATAATCCGTGTGTAGAAAATGGCTCTGATACACCCCTACCACTAACCCTTAACACCCCATACACCCCAACACACACATACAACTTAACTGCCCAACTCAACCCAATCATCCGTACGCCCCTAACTATCCAAACTCTTCCAACCACCCTTCCAACCCCCTTTTGAACCCCCTTAAAGCTAAGACACACTGAATCAACTATCGTTCACATCAGCCGGGAACAATAAACGTCTGATGTACACTGTACATCGGCTTTTGTTTTAGTGCATTTACCCCCCCCCCCCCTCCCCCCATAGGGCCGTCTGCATTTCTAACACACGTTTATTGGTTTATTCTTATTGTCCGAGCCATTAAGCGTTCAAGTGTTGTTGAACTACATAGATCATAGACATTGAAAATCTTCGGAATGGATCTATAATCGCATCGAATGAATGTAAATTAGATCTTTCTGTTACAAAATTAAAGAGCATTTAAATATATTTATAAGTAGGCCTATATATATATATATATATATATATATATATATATATATATATATATAGTGACCGATATATTTATAAGTCTAAGTATATATATATATATATATATATATATATATATATATATATATATATATATATATATATATATATATATATATATATATATATATATATATATATATATATATATATATATATATATATATATATATATATGTTAACACGGAAGTACCTGCAGGTAAACAGATCTATATTTATTGCTGCCTGTTGACAACATCTCACACGCACGTAACTTCTAAATACTCAACGAGTTGCTACTTGTATGAACCAGGAAACGATGATAACAAATGTATAAAGTCAAAGCTGACGAGGATTATGACTGGGATTATTAATCCCGATTATAGCGCGGGTGATTTATCAAGTAAAACGGATCAAGTAAACGACACTGTACTCACATATGTGCGTCCTGTGGCTACACTTTCCTAGACCTAACCAATCGATCAACTGCTTGCTGAATGAAGTCTGCCAGCCTCGTTCTGAATCCGAGAGTAAATCAACGACAACAATGGCCGCCCACGTCAGATGAAGCTTGTTTTGACGTCACACTTTGCAGGAGGTTGTGGAACTGTATCGTGGTGTGAGGGGGGGGGGGGGTGGGGGTGGGGGGAGTACTCCTGCTTTTCTCTATGGATTTCTTTTTTTTTCTCTCTTCACTGCGTCACTCTATCGCCTCCCCTTTTTATGTGATGTGTGTATTGATTTGTGTTTTGTATGAGGCTCTACGGTATCAAGTGTTGGCGATGTGTTGAAGTTGTGTTGACGATGTGTTGAAGATGTGTTAACGGTATATTTGCTTGAGCAAACCAACAGTTGCTGCAGCTGGAAGAGTAGCAGTTCATTTCAATAGTTGTTGTCTACTTCTGTTTCTTTTGTTGGCAAACTGAACATTGTTGGATAGCTTCATAAGATCACCTAACATTTTCACTTACCTAAGATCACCACAAACCTAAGATCACCACAAACAGAAGATTACCACAAACCTAGGGTCGCTAAAAACCTCAAACTACATTTTAGATTATCAGCAACCTAAGATCACCATTAAAATCACCACCATCCTAAGATCACGGCTAACCAAATATTACCACTGAAATCACCACCACCTTAATATCACCACTATGATCACCACCAGTCTTAGATCACCACCTCCCTAAGATCACCACTATGATCACCACCATTCTTAGATCACCACCAACCTAAGATCACCACCTACTAAAATGTACTTAATACTTCAAATAAAATCCCTAGCCATGAAAAAAATCAAGACTGTAATCAGACAGTCTCATTAATCAAATTGTTCAACGAATCTCCCATTGATTATAACCTCAGTATCTTTCAAACATCAGAGCTACAATACTGTTATCATATTTCTATTATTAAAGTGTTTTTTCACATTCGACACAAACGGTCTCCCATACAAAATCTATTAAGGAAATGTTCCTGTTTCCATGGCTACAAGGCACCGACGTCGTTTTCCTTTTACGGCACACGACAAGGACGGAAATAGCTTATCAATATCAAAATGGCGCCCACTGGTCAGAGCGAGGCGTTCATGGCACAGCTCGCGCCAGTCGCACGTCACGCGACCTCGCTCGAGACTTCCAGCACGTGCGGGCGGGTCGATTGGCAGACGACAGTAAATGTCTTTTTGACTGTCCTCGTATCTTTATTTGGAATCAATCAACGAACCAGTGTAAAATTCTATGCCTGGGTTATAAATACTCGATGGAAGCATCTATAACCGATGTCTTTGATAAAAGCTAAGATCTAACAATATCTTACCAGCGTAAGATTCTATACCAGGGTTATAAATACTCGATGGAAGCTTTTATAACCGATGTCTTTGATAAAGGCTGAGGTCTGACAATAAATGCCAAATATTGATTTGACATCTCGATATACACTATATTATCAACTTTTTAATGTACAGTGTTATTTCCCTGAAGTAAAATGAGCAATATTTTTTGTTGGAGAATTGAATTTGCAATGATTTTTTTTTTGTAAACTAAATGTTTAACGTTTTCGTTTTACTAGAATGTGCAAGTCGTTTTTCGTGAATTAAAATATGCACATACAAATACGTAAATTAGAATGTGCAATTGTGTGCTTTTTGTGAACTTGATATTTTAGCTGATGTAGCATGTACGTGTAAAATAAAACACGGTGGTATCTTTATGAGACATACAACATTGTTGGTAGTAGGCCTATACAACAACCACAGAGTATAAAAACACATTTCAATGTGATTGGTTGGCCAAACCACGTGTTATCATTTTCTCATCAGCTTCAACACATTGCGCAATACGTCCAGATTTGGAATTCCCCAGTCAATATAATATGGGTTATTGGGGGAGGGGGGGGGAGAAGTAAAATAAAAATGGTTACCCAACGACATACACATGCACACAAACACAGACATACACACGCACGTACACACACACACACACACACACACAAGCTGTTAACGAGATTACGTCAACTCAATGGGAAAAAGGAGACATTTTTTCTGAACACAAAAACAGTTTTTAAAATTAAAATAAAAACACATCACACAATTTTATAATGGGTTGATTTCATGCAACAACTGAGAGGTCAAAGGTCAACGTTTGTCCAACTTCAGTCATTTAGTCATCGTTTCTTTCAATTGAAATAAATTCAGTGCTGCTACCGTAGTTTCTAATTTATTATAAACAGGAGTAGAAGGTTTACACGAGATGAAGGAACCAAAACAACATATGCTGTTCAAGCTGAGTGGTTCGTTATAATGTAGAGAAATAAGTATTACAGTAAACCCTTTAGAATACTATGTATAACTTTATAGGTGGCAAATGTGTTAATTTTAGTTAGGAATTTTAAGTCAAAGTATGAACCATGTGATGTTTTTTTATATCTTCTGATGTGTTGTATGTTATGCCAAGGATACGCTCAACGGTTGCTTTATTTAAACTGAAGTTCAAAAATTACTAAACTGGATGTGCAATTTTTATTTAGTAACAAATCATAGTGGCTTTAACAATAACATTGTTTACTTTTCAAGGGAGAATTCAAATTTCGTTGGTGGTCTTCGTGGGGGGGGGGGGGGGGGGGTCCTAAGTTATTTTTGAAACTGCTGGTAGAAGTGCGTTATACAAGACTTAATATCAGTGATATTATCGAGTTCTATTCCTAGTGGCAAGACTTAATATCGTTGATCTTACTGAGTTCTACTCTTCGTGGCAACCACCATTGGCTGTTCGGAGAATGGGTTCACACATAACATAATAATAAATGTAAGCTACACGCAAGCTAGCGATGGGAACTATCCAGAGACCAATGAACCAGGTCATTTTCTTTTCGTCTCAGATATAGGCTTGTGATGTTGGAAAAACTAAACTAGACCGTCCCCCACCCCACCCTTTGACCCCCAAGATAACATCTGTCTCAAGTTATGTTCCAGCTTTTGACGAAGGCACGTTCGTGTAGTTTGGGTTCTCAGATTGTTTTTTTTTATCTTTTACTAAAATATATAATCACTATCACATTTTAAATATATCAGCTCAACACAGAGATTTTATAGTTGGTTTCTCATTAGCAATAAACTGCTTCGTGGTTGGCTTAATTAACTAACAAAGTCTCTGGACTTTTTTTTAAGATACTAATTAAATACAACAATGCTCTTGAGTTTTCATTGAAGAATATATGAGACAAAAGTTGATGAAAAGTTAGACAAATTTGACAAGTCTCTAACTCCAAAAAACTTTTCTAAACAATGACATTAAGTTACATTAAATGACGTCAAGTGACTTCAAGTGACATCAGCTGACATCAACTGACATCAACTGACATCAACTGACATCAACAACACCTCTGGTTCACAATGAACACAGATTCGCCGATAGTTGCACACAACCTCCAAGAAAACCAGCCGAAAACAAAACCTCCAATTGACTCAGTAAAGTGTAGCCCAGGTATATGTGTAGCCCCATCTAAGTGTAGCTCAGGCTACGTGTGTAGCCCCAGCTACGTGTGTAGCTCTAGGTCCTCTCCTGAGCAGTTGGCGAACAGTTTATTTTCACAAACTTTTTTTGGCATGAAGGGAATCTTGGGGAGGAAGGGAGCGACCTTGAGCAGACGCGGGTACCAGGACCAGCTGAAGAGCTGCTCCACGTCTGCTGATGATGTGCTCTTGCCGAGGTCGGCGTGGGAGGTCCACGTGGTCATCCCACGTGACTCGGGAGTGCCTGGAATTTTAAAAATGTTATGCCTTCAAGTTATTTTTTAAACTATTAATAAGTAGCTAGAACTGATTCACTTAAAACAGTGCGTTAAATATGGATGTAATTCTTAAAACCATGTGGCCCTAATGTTGTTGTTTTTTTAAATACCAATATGATTGAAAGTTAAATTAACTTACTTAGTTTGAACTAATAACGGCAATCAAGCGAAGGTATTAAACCAATTTTAAGTAGCTAGAACTGATTTATTAAAAACAGTGCATTAAATATCGATTTATCCGTAACACTATACTGCCAGATTGTTTTTTGTTAAATGCCAATTTAATCAAAGTTAAAAAATCGATTATGTAGTTTGAAATAATAAATATGAAGGCAATCAATCAAAGATGTTCAAGTTATGGATACATACCAGGTACTGTGTTGTCTAGAATTAAAGCCAAAATTCCACCTAAAAACATTGGTGTTCCAAATATCACGTAGATTATTCTATCTGCATCATCAGAACCTGATAAACAAAATATACATGAAATAGATATGTATGTCTGAACTGTGATTTCGTCAACTTTTATAAAAATAACATCTAATATATCATCAGAGTTTCTTCCAGGCATCTCTTCGGGAGAAAAAAGTCTGGAAGAAATACTGTTTATCATGAGAACTTAATTAAATAAATATACTTAATGTAGTTTTTAACGTCCAACTAATAAAAACAAAATGGCTGACCTGTTTTCATTAACGACGGATGCATCTCTATCCCAGCAGGCACCACAATGCCAGCCATGAAAGGCAGACCAAACACTAGAAGATTTCTTGACGTCGTCATATCCACATACTTCAGGTTGGCCAATCCAATGGATAAAAGTGTGGATATAATCACCAGCATGACACCACCTTTTGAGTTGAAATACAAAATAAAGGCTTAAATTTGTTTGGACTCTGGACTCGAGGTTTTGATGTATTGGTAATTATAGCGATAGGGCTAGGTCACTTTCATTTTATTCAGATAATCTAAGTTTGTTGTGTCATAATAAAGAAATTATTTAACCATCAAATAATTTAACCACAAAAATTAGTAAACCACAAAATTATTTAACCAACAAATTATTCAACCATCAAATTATTTAACCAACAAATTATTCAACCAACAAATTATTCAACCAACAAATTATTCAACCAACAAATTATTCAACCATCAAATTATTTAACCAACAAATTATTCAACCAACAAATTATTCAACCAACAAATTATTCAACCAACAAATTATTCAACCAACAAATTATTCAACCAACAAATGATTAGTGGTGTCACGTTTGATTACACTACTGCAACTAAATGGAGCTGTTGGTCTAGAATATGATGGTGGTCTGTGTGACGCATCTTAACGTTTTTAATTACATAAGATTAGCTTGACCCCTCTAGTCGTGTTAAGCTACCCAGAATGGGATAATGGATAGTAGCACCTTAAAGGTTTCTACGTACTCAGAATGGGATTTGGGATAATAGCATCTAAAGGTTTCTACTTACCCAGAATGGGATTTGGGATAATAGCATCTAAAAGCTTCTACTTACCCAGAATGGGATTTGGGATAATAGCATCTAAAAGCTTCTACTTACCCAGAATGGGATTTGGGATAGTAGCATCTAAAGGCTTCTACTTACCCAGAATGGGATCAGTGGCGGAACTAGAAAAAAAGGGCCACCCCGCAAACAAAAATTCTGGGCCCCCCTCCTATATATATATATATATATATATATATATATATATGAAAAAAATTCTTTTTTTTTCACCCCCCCCCCAACCCCTCTCAATCCACACACGTCCGCCAAAGTTATTTTTTGTGGACGCTTAGTGATATTACTATCTTACATGAACTTTCATTTTTTTGTAAATAATTTATTTGATGGTGTGACCTACTTAGGTTCAGTAATGTTTTATTTTGACATTGTATAATACCTTATATGGAATGATGGTGCAACTACTGGGGTTTTTCCACTGTCTTACCAAAGGTGTCTAGGACCCAGAAATTTTCCATTAAGATCTGATTGATTGATTCTGATCAGATGACCATCCCAACCAATGGCTACATGAGTTGAGGATAACCTCCCCTGTTGCAGAGGTCTTTAACTAGATCGCACACAGGCAGCACGAGGCAGTCCATCTTGACCAGGCCGTCCATTTTGTCCGGCAATTCATTCTGACCATTTGAACGTGAGAGAACTTAAGTCCTGAGTGTGCTATGCATTCTTACGTTGTTTTAGTATTCTAGTATTATATTACTTGTCGCCGAGTGATTCTTGATGCTATAGCAGTGTTATGTGACCTGTGGCTATTTTTATACAGTGTTAGAATCTGTGATAGTATTTTTTCTTACGCTTTGTAAGTTGGGTTTTGTTATTTTCTAAATTAAATATTTTATCTCGTTTAACCTAGTGTTCTGCCACAACTGTGTTCGCTTATTAAAGGTTGTATGCAGATTGAATGAGTTGTTAACTTCAATAGTATCACTAGTTTTCCCTAGACATCGAAATCGAGCCCTAGTGTGTTGTTGAGTTAGTGTTCATTCATTTAGGCTTTATGTCATTTGCATATAACCCCAAAAAAGAATCCGGGGGCGTTCACCATCTATCTGGCTGGTAGATAGGTGTCCGTTACAAAGTGGGGGCTCGCCGAGATTTAATCTGTCGTTCCAGTTGTTGGTTATATCAGTTAAACACTAAGGTTAGTTTGATTTAGTTGTTTTTCTATCCAGTGAAGCCGTGTTATTGAAACGCGCGCAAGGCTAGAATTATCTAGGTCAATAGTCAGACGTGTCACGTCCTAGATTGAAGAGGTCAAGTACACGGCCCAACGCTCCGTGTTAAGTTAGTGAATCTAGGCTTGTTGTGTTTTTGAAAGTTAGTGTTATGGAATCTTTTTTGGCTAATCCCACTGTTGAGGAGGTCGAAAAGTTGAGTAGAAAAGTTTTGATTAGTGTTGTTAAGGAATTGAAATTGGATTATTCTGTTACGCAGAAGTCAGAGGTGTTGAGAGATAAAATTGTTGTTCATTTTATTAATGAAGGGGTATTTGATGAAAGTTTGTTGGCGGATGTGTTACTCCGCGAGGAGAAAACTCTAGAGAAGGTAGAATTAGAAGCTAGAATTGCTTTAGAGAAGGAGAAAGTTGCTTTAGAGAAACAGGAGTTAGAGGCTAAAATTGCTTTAGATAAGAGGAGGTTGGAATTAGAGTTTGGTCTAGTTAGTGATGTCACTTCTCTGGTAGATCCAAAAAAGTTGTCGGTGGGGCAAGTGATTGCCAAATTTGGGAAATTAGTTCCTAAATTTGATGAAACAGATTTGGTCGTTTTCTTTAACTCATTTGAGAGTTTAGCGAAGACATGTGAATGGCCCGAAACTTCCATTACTGCTTTATTGAGCTCGGTCCTTACTGGGAAAGCTGCAAAAACATACCAGGCACTCTCTCACGACGTTCAAAATAACTATAGTTTGGTCAAGAATGCCATTTTGAAGGCCTACGAACTGACGCCCGAGGCCTATCGGACAAAATTCCGAACACTCCGCAAGTTACCCACTCAATCATATGTGGAATTTCTCTTTGAAAAGGAGAAAATATTCTCAAGGTGGCTACACTCTGAGGAAGTTTCTGAGTTTGAGAAACTCAGGTCACTTATCCTAAGGGAAGAATTCCTATCGTCCCTGCCTAAAGAGATACGACTACACATACTGGATAACAAGATAATTGACATCCAGAAGGCTGCTGAGTCGGCTGACACATATATGTTGGTGCATAAGAAACCACCAGTGTCAGGAAACCGCCTCAACCCCGTGCTTCCCCTTTTTGGCAGCAATCCTCCTGTTGGCCAACACGTGAAGGCATTACAGTCCAGAGAGAAACCAAGATCAACTCTCAATCGTCGAGCAGTATGCCAGTTCTGCAAAAGACCTGGTCATCTTGTCAAGGACTGTTACAAACGTCGTCAATATAACAGAGAGGTGGTGCGTACTTCTGCGCACTATGCTCTATCCCCTCAAGCAGCCAGTTCAACTATGAACTCTAGAATTCTAAAGGACTCTAACCCTAAGTGTCCGCAAGAAGGTAGTCAAGTCTCCACACATTATGTGCAGTCACATTTTGACTGTTCACGCCACCATCCAGTTTCTTCCGAGTCTACCGATCTCGAGGGATCGAGAAAAGTTGACTTTTCATCTTTTATTGCCGAAGCCATCATTAGCAAACCAGGTGATCCGTTGTCTCAGCGGAATATCACCGTCCTAAGAGACACAGGAGCGTCACAATCACTTCTTTTGAAAAGTTCAATGGACATTACACCAGAGACGAACACCGGAAATATTTCCATTATCCAGGGAGTGGGGACAAAATCTACTGTCGTCCCTCTACACAAGTTTGCCCTGAAACATCACCTCGTCGAAGGTGAGGTCATTTTAGGTGTGATAGATAGTATTCCAGTCCCAGGAGTACACCTACTTCTAGGGAATGACCTTGCGGGAAGCAAAGTATACCCCTGTACGGTTTCAGACCCTTTGTCAACAGTTCCAGATAATGATAATGAACTGTATCCTGCATGTGCGGTGACAAGAAGCCAGACCAAACAATTGGCTGACACAACGTCTGAACCACACCTACCATCATCGTCAAGAAATTCGACTCCCAAACTGGAGTCTATGCTTCCAGAGAACACAGGCCTGGGCTTACCCCTGAGAATATCTCAGGAAGACATCATTAAAGCTCAACAAGTCGACGCGGAACTCAAAGCAATGGTCGAAAAATCTCTATCATCTGACGATGGGGAATATTTCTCCGAGAACGGCCTCTTCTTTCGTCGCTCTGTACCAGTGGATGCCTCACCGGCCGAACCATGGTTGGGTAAAAACCAGCTGTGGGTCCCTCCACCTTATCGGCATGAAATACTGAAACTGGCACATGACCATCCAATGTCAGCGCACCCAGGAGTCACTAAAACGACGGCGAAGATCAAAGAACTGTTCTTTTGGCCCAAAATGAGAAATGATGTGTCGCGTTACTGTAAAAGTTGCACGAACTGTCAGTTGGCCGGAAAACCAAACCAGAAAATTCCTAAGGCCCCTTTGAGTCCGATTCCTGTATTAGAAGAACCCTTTTCTAAAATCGTCATGGACTGTGTAGGTCCCTTGCCTAAAACCAAGGCGGGCAACGAGTACCTACTTACCTTTATGTGTTCAAGTACCCGTTTTCCCGAGGCGTTCCCCTTACGGAACATTAAGGCAAAGACTGTAGTCAGAGCCATGACCCGGTTCTTCACTACCTTTGGATTACCTAGAATTGTGCAAACAGATCAAGGCAGCAACTTCACCAGTCACCATTTTCAGGAAGCACTAGCCAAGCTAGGCGTTACCCACATCACCAGCTCAGCCTACCACCCCCAGTCTCAAGGCGTACTTGAGAGGTTCCACCAAACCCTCAAAACCATGCTAAGAACATTCGCTACTAGTAACACCCAATGGGATGAGACTGTTCCTTGGATTATTTTCGCCGCGAGGGACTGTGTCCAGGACTCTTTAGGTTACTCTCCTTTTCAACTTGTGTTTGGACATTCTGTCCGTGGTCCCCTGAAGCTGATCCACGAACGTTGGACAGGTACCAGTGATCATCCAGTGGAAAACTTTGACGATTTTCACGTTCGACTGAAAGCCGTGTGCGAAATGGCTCACAAGAACTTAAGAAAGGCCCAAGTGAGAATGAAAGGACTGTATGATAAGAGTTCTCGTAAACGAACATTCAATCCAGGCGACAAAGTTCTTGTGCTAGTGCCTAATCTGAACAATGCGTTATCCTTGAGATATTGTGGACCCTTTACTGTGCATTCAAAATTAAGTGATTTGAACTATGTTGTCAATACGCCTGACAGAAGAAAGAAACAGACAGTGTATCATGTTAACTCACTGAAAAAGTATTATGATAATTGTAACAATTTTCATTCCACAGCTAAAATTACTTTACCTGTATGTTCAAATGTTTCTGATGATGTGATACATGATAAATTGAAACCCCCAAAATTGGTAAATTCTTCCTTTTTAGATAATTTGAATGTCCACCTTATGCATTTGTCCACAGAGGAAAGCCATAAATTGTCTCAATTATTTGAGACATTTCCCTCTATTTTTGGGGATGTCCCCAAAGAAGCGAAGGTTCCACCTCATGATGTAGACGTAGGTGACGCAAAACCCATCAAACAACACCCCTATAGAGTTAATCCGGAAAAAGCTGCTTTGATAAAAGATGAAATTGATTATATGCTCAAGAATGATATCATTGAGCCCAGTTTCAGCAACTGGAGTTCCCCATGTCTCCTAGTCCCGAAAGACGGTGGATCTTTTAGGTTTGTGACCGACTTTAGGAAAGTAAATGCGCTCACCAAAGCTGATTCCTATCCTTTACCTCGAATAGAAGACGTTATTGATAAAGTTGGTCAAGCTAAGATAATTTCCAAAATTGATTTACTTTCAGGATACTGGCAAATCCCCTTATCTGACCGTGCAAAAGAAATATCTGCTTTTGTAACCCCTAATGGTTTTTATAGATACAAACGTATGCCCTTTGGTATGCGAAATGCTGGTCAAACTTTCCAGAGGGTCATTAACTCTGTCATTGCTGACGTAGACCAATGTGAGGCCTACATAGATGATATAGTTGTATTTTCTAATACTTTTGAAGAACATATTGTTCAGTTGACTAACCTTTTTAGAAAATTGTCTGAAGTGAATTTTACTGTAAACTTACATAAAAGTGATTTCTGTAAAGGTTCAATTACCTATTTGGGTTATCAAGTGGGAACGAACCAAGTTCGGCCCATTGAAGCTAAAGTAGATGCTATTGTAAGGTTACCTCCTCCCAAAAATTGTAAAGAAATCAAAAAGTTCCTTGGGATGGCTGGTTACTATAGGCGGTTCTGTCAAAACTTTTCAGCTATTGCTGAACCTCTTACTGCATTATTGAAAAAGGGTGTTGAGTTTGAATGGTCAAATAAATGTCAAGAAGCTTTTTTAACCATTAAGTCATTTTTATCTAATGCTCCTGTTATGGCTGCACCAGATTTCAGCAAGCCCTTTAAACTTGCCATTGATGCTAGCAACTTAGCCATTGGCTCAGTCCTATTTCAAGAAGACAACATGGGAATTGACCATCCCATTGCCTTTTTTTCCAGGAAGTTAAATGAAAACCAAAAGAATTACTCTACTATTGAAAAAGAAGCTTTAGCTTTGGTTTTGTCCTTACAACATTTTGAAGTCTATGTCTCTTCTTCAACCAATCCAGTCAGAGTGTTTTCTGACCATGATCCCCTGAAATTTACCTCTAAGTTAGGACAGACGAATCAAAGAATATTGAGATGGTGTTTATATTTCCAAAATTTTAATCTGGAAATTTCACACATTAAGGGTAGTGATAATGTTGTGGCTGATTGTTTGTCAAGGATGTAAAATCTTGTTGCACATATTGATCATGTGACATGTTTTGTGGTTCATTAAGACCATACACAAGTGTTGTGTTTTCACATGAAAATGAGTGGTATGAGTTTTGAATTTTTCAAAATTCCAATCCTGTTGAATATTTTGTTTATTTTCAGGTGAACCTTAATTAAAGGTGGTTTTGGATTATATGTAATCTTTTATAATAATATGTCTCATATGACTCAGTTGATATTGTAGCTAGTCTTTGAAATAAAGGTCTTACCCTGGCGGGTTTACCACTTTTAATATCCTCATGGAAATATTGTAATACCCTTTTTTGAGGGATTTTGATGTATAATTACTTTTTGAAGGGTTACTCCCCTTTCACCAATTGTAAAAGTTTGAGTTACTTCCCTTTTATGTTCAGGGATATTTTCATCTGGTATTATGATTTTGATTGCCTACATTTGTAAAACATTTTTTTTTTTTGTTCTCATTGCCAGATTGGTTCCTTATGTATGTTTTTGTGGAACCTATCTGTCACTTCCAAAAAGGGAGGGGATGTGACCTACTTAGGTTCAGTAATGTTTTATTTTGACATTGTATAATACCTTATATGGAATGATGGTGCAACTACTGGGGTTTTTCCACTGTCTTACCAAAGGTGTCTAGGACCCAGAAATTTTCCATTAAGATCTGATTGATTGATTCTGATCAGATGACCATCCCAACCAATGGCTACATGAGTTGAGGATAACCTCCCCTGTTGCAGAGGTCTTTAACTAGATCGCACACAGGCAGCACGAGGCAGTCCATCTTGACCAGGCCGTCCATTTTGTCCGGCAATTCATTCTGACCATTTGAACGTGAGAGAACTTAAGTCCTGAGTGTGCTATGCATTCTTACGTTGTTTTAGTATTCTAGTATTATATTACTTGTCGCCGAGTGATTCTTGATGCTATAGCAGTGTTATGTGACCTGTGGCTATTTTTATACAGTGTTAGAATCTGTGATAGTATTTTTTCTTACGCTTTGTAAGTTGGGTTTTGTTATTTTCTAAATTAAATATTTTATCTCGTTTAACCTAGTGTTCTGCCACAACTGTGTTCGCTTATTAAAGGTTGTATGCAGATTGAATGAGTTGTTAACTTCAATAGTATCACTAGTTTTCCCTAGACATCGAAATCGAGCCCTAGTGTGTTGTTGAGTTAGTGTTCATTCATTTAGGCTTTATGTCATTTGCATATAACCCCAAAAAAGAATCCGGGGGCGTTCACCATCTATCTGGCTGGTAGATAGGTGTCCGTTACAATGGGACGTTCTATATGAACTAGCCGTTGGTACCCGTTACACGTGAATTATCGGTTTATATATATTTAAACAAATTACAATATATTATGTGTGTGAGTTCATTAGTCTGCTTCGTATTTTTTTTCTAGGTTTAGAACTACTTTGCGGTAATGCTGCCTATCCTCTGATTAGTAGCCGGTCAAAAGACTATAAAACATGAAAGCTTTGTATGTGTAATGGTTTCTCGTGTTATGTTTATTTTTATGTTTTTTTATTATATTATTTGTTTTAAATATATTTCCTTTTTATGTTCTGTCAGTTTTAGTATGTATTTTTTTAAAATAATAAGTAAGAGAAGTAATTGCTTTAATTTGTTTAGTACACATATATTAAAAGGAGCTTATGAGCAACCCTTTTTAACTATTTAAAAAAGGGAAATAAGCCACGCACGTGTTTTGAACGTTTGCCTATCTTTCACACTACAGCTCAGGCATATATTTTTTTTTACGCAACAGCATGTGTTAGCTACTGTATAACATCACTAATGTAGTAGATCTGTTTGTTATTAACAAAAGGTTTTACCATCAAGTAAAAAATGCAAGAAAATTATTTTTTAACTATGAAAACTTTATTATGGTCGGCTATGGGCCCCTATCTGGCGTGCCCCCCCCCCCGCATTGCGGGGTCTGGCGGTACTGTAGTTCCGCCCCTGAATGGGATTAGGGATAATAGAATCTAAAGACTTCTACTTACCCAGAATGGGATTTGGGATAGTAGCATCTAAAGACTTCTACTTACCCAGAATAGGATTTGGGATAATAGCATCTTAATTCTTTTACTTACCCAGATAGGGATTTGGGATAACAGCATCCTAAGGTTTCTACTTACCCAGAATGGGATTTGGGATGGTCGTCAGCGCGGCCCCAGCTTTACCGATGAAAGAGACGATGAGAATGATGAACCCAGCAGCATACATCACTGAGCGACTTCCCGTCTATAGACAACACAGTAGAACACATTATTTTTAAGTAATCTGTTGTTATCCCTAGACTTAATCAAAAAAATCTTTGACCGGTGAATTTTTAAAAAAATGTATTTAAATCTATAAAGAGCCAACGGACAAGAATTGTCTAGATAAATAACCCTGAAGTCGCAAGTTCGGATCCCAATGAGTCTACACAGCGCTTAGAATTCGAATAAAGTAAAGGCGGCTGGGAACAGTGCTAACTAAACAGTCCAGTAATTGGATGAATAACTCTACTTCATTTACTATCAAGAAAATTATAACTAAATGGTAACCTACTTTTATTTAAAAATAGTTACTTTAACGGGACTTTAATAACAATGTACTGCCTTCAACTACAATGAACTTTTTACAGAATTTTACAGTATCGAAATTTTAATAACAATCTTTTCTATCTGGCTGACTCCGCACCGTTGTTTGTTAACTTGACAGTGACTCCACTAGCTGTTTTATTACAGAAAGTGTATGTCAAGCTGTACCTTGGATAAGTTTTGTTTTATTACAGACGGTGTATGTAAAACTCTACATTGGATAACTTCTGTTTTATCACAGAAGGTGTATGTCAAGCTGTACCTTGGATAACTTCTGTTTTATTACAGACGGTGTGTGTCAAGCTGTACCTTGGATAACGTGAGGAGGGCGATATTGCCGCTGTAGGAGGTCGTGGCATGCCCGGCCCCCACAGCCCCTGAGATGATGCTACCGATCCCCTCCATCAGGATCCCCCGGGAGATGGCGGAGTCTGGGATGCTGGGGATCTCGCACGCCTTCTGGGCAGCGTAGTAGTCGCCTACCGACTCGACCACCGAGGACAGGCAGGCTACCAGGAACCCCAGGGTCAAGGCCAAGCTGAGTTTCGGGACGCCAAACTGGCCTGGACGAAACAGAAATGTGTTAATAGCCAGAGTAAAAGACATTAGTTGTGGGAATAAGTAAACTTTAGTGTACAGGGCATTCATATACAGTTTTCCATGTAAATAAACATTGGTTGTAAAATAAAAATTCGTTGTAAAATAAACATTCGCTGTAAAATAAACATTGGTTGTAAAATAAACATTCGTTGTCCACGTAAGTAAACATTTTTGATTGGGTAAAATCTTTGTCTATTGTAAATTCTTGTGACTTCCCAAACTAGTGATTCTGTATTAGTGACTATCATTTACTGATTATATATGAATGACTCCCCTATTTATAGATTATGTATGAAAGGCTCCACTGTGGATAGATTCTGTATCCATGACGCCACTGTTTATACAAGTATGAACGATCCCACTATTTATAAGCAGAAAAATGTCACATTGATCTTTCGAGAATTAGCATAAGCGGATTAGCCAATCGAACGTTTAAATGTTTCTGCTCCGAAAGGCCTAATCGCCCAAACAGCTGTGCTAGTATATCCTGTGGCTAAATACACAGTTGTTTTATTTTGTTTCGTTTATTGAACGTGTGCTATTCAAAAAGTCAAACATTTTAAGTTATGAGTTTGTATTGACATTCGTTTCTTCTATCAAATAAACGAGGAGGCCAGATCATTTTAAGGCCTGCTGGTTAAGTATATTTCTTTTAATGTTTTTTTTCGCCATTTTACAATCTTATCCTAGCAATATCATCTAGTTGTCTGCTGCTAGCTAGCTGGGTTTGAGCTAAAACATGTCGCCCAAGTTTAACCCTTTTCTAACGGTTAAACTCCAAATATGTTCAGATCCATTTTAACGCAAGTGTATCACATTTACAATCGAATTTGATATTTTATTATTAACTTCAAATTAATTTGAAAATTACTATATTCACAAGAAAAGGAAATTAACAAGATTAAATAGTTGCAAATACTCGATAGTGAATGTTTTCATATTTGAGACCAAATTATTTACACTAATTAGGGGCAAATAACTGCATTTGAGATTAATAAGTTGGATGTCTACTCAACTACGAACGGAATGGAAAGAATAAATTAGAATTTTTACAATACATAAATCAGCAGTAGAGAATTGTTTTAAAGTATATTTTTTTTAATAAATATAAAATTTCGAATGCGTCATTTGGCTATGGCTGGAGCTACACTGTACCTGTCGATTGACTATAGCTGTAGTTATACCTCGATGTGTACCATTCTATTGATTGTGGATATACCTAGACAAGTACTTGTCTATTGACTATACCTAGACAAGTACTTGTCTATTGACTATACCTAGACATGTAGCTATACCTCGGTGAGAGTACAAGCCAACTGACTATAGCTGCAGCTATACCTAGACATGTAGCTATACCATCGGTGTGTGTACCAGCCAACTGACTATAGCTGCAGCTATACCTGGGTAAGTGACGTGCAGCCAGCTTGAGGTGTAGATGATGTCCAGCTTGGCATCAGCTCTGGCCATGTAGCCGACGTCCTCCCTGTTGTCTGTGAAGACGTCACAAGCCGTAAGAATAGCCGTGACTATCCACACGATGATTACAGCCAAGAGAATCTAGTGGTCCAGGCAGGAAAAAACACGGCACATGTATCTTAAATATTAAAACTTTCAAAACTAAATCAAATGTTATATTAGACCAACAATTAAGAGCATTAAGTTACCAATGTGATACACCTTTAAATTAAGCTACAAATGTGCAATAACATTGAGATACAAATGTGCCACAAGATTGAGCTACAAATGTGCCACATCACTGAACTACAGATGTGCCACAAAATTGAGCTACAAATGTGCCACAAAATTGAGCTACAAATGTGCCACAACATTGAGCTACAAATGTGCCACAACATTGAGCTACAAATGTGCCACAACATTGAGCTACAAATGTGCCACATCATTGAGCTATAAACGTGCCACAAAATTGAGCAACAAATGTGCCACAACATTGAGCTAAAAATGTGCCACAACATTGAGCTACAAATGTGCCACAACATTGAGCTATACATGTGCCACAACATTGAGCTACAAATGTGCCACAACATTGAGCTACAAATGTGCCACAGCATTGAGCTATAAATGTGCCAAAACATTGAGCTACAAATGTGCCACAACATTGAGCTACAAATGTGCTGCACCATTATACTGATGTGCCACACTTACATTAGTAAACTACCAAGTTCACTTACAGGTATCAGTTGGAAGATCTTAAATTTGGACCTGGGTTTGTTTTTGTTTTCCTTTCCTATCCTCGGCATCGGGATGCCGATCTTGTTGAAGTACAGGATGAAGATGAGTACTAGGATCGCACAGCTGAGGAGGTAAGTGTTAGTTACATGGATGAGCAGATCACTCGTTACTTGATTAAATTGGTGTTTTGTGATCTTGAAAGATTATTTTTGTTTCTCTCATGAAGTGTTGTGTGCTATTAATTATTTTACTTTTAAAAAATCTAATCCTTGTTTCCTATGGTGTGTCTCCCGGTAACTTACCTTAAGGCGATGGTTATCATTTTTTCCCGTTGGTGCCCAAGACACATGGGCAGATGAAGTAGAGTTCTTCTGCTTCAGAGACCTCGACATTTGAGTTAGGTACCCATCAGAGCTGGGTGGACTCAGGGACATTCTTCTATCTACCGCTATGCCATACCATCCCTTTAAACTTTAAGGCGATGTTAAAGTTCCTATATTGTGTCTGTTTTTAACTTACCTTAAGACGATGTTAAAGTTCCTATATTGTGTCTGTTGTTAACTTACCTTAAGACGATGTTAAAGTTCCTATATGTGTCTGTTGGTACTTACCTTAAGATGATGTTAAAGTTCCTATATTGTGTATGTTGGTAGCTTACCATAAGACTATGTTAAAGTTCCTATATTGTGTCTGTTGGTAACTTACCTTAAGGCTATGTTAAAGTTCCTATATTGTGTCTGTTGGTAACTTACCTTAAGACGATGTTAAAGTTCCTATATTGTGTCTGTTGGTAACTTACCTTAAGACTATGTTAAAGTTCCTATATTGTGTCTGTTGTTAACTTACCTTAAGGCTATGTTAAAGTTTCTATATTGTGTCTGTTGGTAACTTACCTTAAGATGATGTTAAAGTTCCTATATGTGTCTGTTGGTACTTACCTTAAGACTATGTTAAAGTTCCTATATTGTGTCTGTTGTTAACTTACCTTAAGACGATGTTAAAGTTCCTATATTGTATCTGTTGTTAACTTACCTTAAGACGATGTTAAAGTTCCTATATTGTATCTGTTGTTAACTTACCTTAAGACGATGTTAAAGTTCCTATATTGTGTTGGTACTTACCTTAAGTCTATGTTTAAGTTCCTATATGTGTCTGTTGGTAGCTTACCTTAAGGCGATGATGAAGTTCGGTCTGCCGTAGATGATGGGCAGACGGTAGAGAGAGACCCCAATGAGTGAGATGGTGTTGGCTATGGTGATGGGGCCGATGTACTTTAGCAGCACGCCCAGAAGTCCGAAGGCTCCAAGAGAGATCTCAAACACTGAGGCCAGCATCAGCGCCCCAGACATCTGCAGGGAGATGGCGGAGGTAGAGAGGGTTAGGTGGATCAAGGGAGTTAACTTTATACAACTGACAGAGGGGGAAAAGAGTTGGCTTGACAAGGTAGATAACTTTATAAACATCAAGTTGAAAAGAAAAGCAACTGAAAAAAACTGACAAAGAGAGACAACTGTATAAAATAAAGAGGTTAATAAAGAAAGATAATCGTATTTAACCACAAATTTGAAATAAGAATAATTACAAAAACGAAACAACTTCGTTTTTAAAATGCTGACAAATCGACGTCGCTTTATCTTTTAAAAAGTGGCTGTACAAGGTGAAACAAAATAATTTGGCAAATAGAAAACAAGAGAAGTAGTCAATGGGTTTTGGAGCATTCGATAAAAAGGACAATCTCGACTTGTATTTGCCGTTAGATTGCTTTATGAAATATTGGCCAGTAACGAACACAATTAATACTACTTACCAATTTTACCAGATATTTATACTAACCAACATTAACACATATTTGCCTCAACCATCATTACCGCATATTAGCCACTAACACCACTACTATATTTAGGCACTAACCATCATTACCACATATAAGCCACTAACACCACTATTACATATATACCACTACCACCACTACCACATATATACCACGAACACCCCTACCACATGTATGTCACTAACACCACTACTACGTGTATGCCACTACCACCACTGCCACTTATTAGCCACTAACACCACTACCACATGTATGCCACTAACACCCCTACCACATATATGCCACTAACACCCTTACCACATGTATGCCACTAACACCACTACCACATATATGCCACTAACACCACTACCACATAGATGCCACTAACACCACTATCACATTTATGCCACTAACACCACTACAACATGTATGCCACTAACACCTCTACCACATATATGCCACTAACACCCCTACCACATGTATGCCACTAACACCACTACGTGTTTGCCACTACCACCACTGCCACTTATTAGCCACTAACACCACTACCACATGTATGCCACTAACACCCCTACCACATATATGCCACTACCACCACTACCAACACTACCACATGTATGCCACTACCACCACTACCATGTATATATAGCCACTACCTCTTGGAGTCTCCACCTAATCCCACTGATAGTGTCCTCCTCCATTTGTCCTGTGGTAATGTTGGTCCCATTCGTCGAGTTACCCACTACCACGTGTATGCCACTAACACCACTACCACATGTATGCCACTGCCACCACTACCATACATATTACCTCTTGAAGTCTCCACCTAATCCCACTGATCGTGTCCTCCTCCACTTGTCCTGTGGTAATGTTGGTCCCATTCGTCGAGTTACCCAACAGTACTTTAAACAGAGAAGGTAAATACAAATAGCTTCTTTTATAACAATTAGACATGCAATATCAACAGCGTTTGTTTGACCCTATGACCGCGTCAATCCTGGACAACTTTTGAATAAGAGGTCTAAATAAAACCTTGTTTTAATGATATTTTATTTACAATTTTTTACAGATCAAACCTCAATTATTTCTACGATGTAACGTATACGTAAATGGTGCACAGTTATAGGTGTACAGAGACAGGTTTAAAGTAGAACATGTCGAATAGACTACTCTAGACTTGATGTGCCATTTTGGCCAATAATCTTTCCAAATTTAGGCCTCATCTATCGTCATTTCACACAACTTTGGTTCTTGAACCTTTTAACTCGACGTCATCTCTTACATTTTACACTAAATTCTAAAACTAGTTTATAGGACGTCATCATTTATCATCTTACACAAAGTTCTTAAATAACTGTATTACTTGACATCATCTTTCATTATCTTACATAAAGTTCGATTACTCTCTTATTTGCCGTCATCGCTCATTAACAAACAAAAAAGTTTAAAATCTGTAATTTCACAAACAAGCAACACATTTGTTTACCGTTAGGACCTGCCTTAGGACACATCCAGCTTGGGTCACGTGACAATGCTAACAGTGGCACCACAAAGGACGAGGACGGGCCTTGAAATATTGGCAATCTGTAGTACAAGTACTTAACAGATTAAAGACAACCTTGGTTTATCTAAACAGGGTTTCTTTCAGACTTTTTTCTTCGCTTTTTTGGGGGTCGCTCAATATTCCAGGGGAGGGGAGCGGACTCTGGTAAAAGTATATATTTCTGTATAAATTATATTTCGTTTGCGGGAGGGGGGGGGGCGGTAGCCCTTCTTCGCCCCCCCCCCCCCCCCCACGAAGTGATGCCTGGAAGAAACCGTGTATCTAAATTATTAATAGTCTAAAATCAACAAGCTAATGCAATATAGTTTGTTTATGCCTATTATTTCTTGTTGATTCATTGTCTCCACGAGTAGGCCTTTATGTTCATTTTTTTTTAAATAAGTGGAACTGTTGATGATTGTCCTTCATGATTAACAGGAATATTATTTGCGTTGAACTGAACATTTACCAATAGAAGCGTATAAAATTTGTTTGTTGTGTCCTATCTATCTTTTAAAAAGAATATGTGTTCGTTGTTAATTTGTTTAGTCTTGTCAAAATGGGAAGTTGCTTATCCGTAGTCCTATCTCTGGACCTCCATTAACTCAGCGTGACGTCAACAACCCACACCTGTTGGTACGGGCTTGGCCTACCGTAGCAGACGACTTAAATTGTACGCATCCTATCAGACTTCTCCACGATTCCAGGGCCGTAACTGGGCTAATTTATGCAGCGTTAGCTTTGGGAGGTTTTTGTAGCTCAGTAATGCATGCTGGGAAGATGTGGCTTTTGTTAATTTTTTGGTTTTTTTTTTCTTGTTTTTATTGTTACAGAACTACAAAATATTTTAATATAAAAGTTTTAGATACCCACTTAAATTACAAGAAATTACGTGTTTAGTGCGATTGCTTTATATCTTATGATTGGGCTTTAAAGATTGTGGAGATTGTGTATTTGTTGTAATAAAACATATTAGTCCGTGTGTTAAACAGTGGCCTTAATTAAATATGCTTTTGTTGAATGTATCTTTATAACTTCTTTAATTAAACATAATTTGTTGACTCTATTAAACAGTAGCCTTAATTAAATGTAGGCCTATACTTGTTGATTCAATAATTTACCTGACATTTAAACATTGGGACAACAGGTGAGGGATGAATTTACCTGACATTTAAACATTGGGACAACAGTTGAGGGATGAATTTACCTGACATTTAAACATTGGGACAACAGTTGAGGGATGAATTTACCTGACATTTAAACATTGAGACAACAGGTGAGTGATGAATTTACCTGACATTTAAACATTGGGACAACAGGTGAGTGATGAATTTACCTGACATTTAAACATGGGGGCAAATGGTGAGGGACGAATTTACCTGACACAAATAGGTAGCTCACGAGATATGTTTATGTGGACCACACAGCATACAGATGTACCGGGGACTTACCTGACGCCAAAGAACGTCTGCAGCAAGGTGCAGAAGCCCACCATAAACATGGTCGTACAGAAGAGCTCCGACCTCATGAAATGGTCGAACGGTATACAGGCTACGTCGGAGACTATGGCTGACGTCACTAGACAGCCGGACACACTCAGGAGGATGTGCTGGGGAGAATAAAGTTGTTCAGGATTTCAGCAAGGGGCAGCTACTCTGACTTTAGGACTAGGGGTAAGGGGCAGCTACTCTGGCTTTAGGACTAGGGCAATAGGCAGCTACTCTGGCTTTAGGACTAGGGGTAAGGGCAGCTACTCTGTCTTTAGGACTGGGGTAAGGGGCAGCTACTTTGGCTTTAGGACCAGGGGTAAGGGGCGGCTACTCTGTCTTTAGGACTGGGGGTAAGGGGCAGCTACTCTGGCTTTAGAAATAGGGGTAGGGGCAGCTACTCTCGCTTTAGGACTAGGGGTAAGGGGCAGCTAATATGGCTTTAGAACTAGGGGTAAGTGGCAGCTACTCTCGCTTTAGAACTAGGGGTAAGGGGCAGCTACTCTGGCTTTAGAACTAGGGGTAAGGGGCAGCTACTCTCGCTTTAGGACTAGGGGTAAGGGGAAGCTACTCTGGCTTTAGGACTAGGGGGTAAGGGGCAGCTACTCTGTTCTTTGAAAAATGGGCGAGAGGATTTTGTTACTATTTTAATTTTTTCTTGTAGAATTTCCAAAATCTCTTCAGTAACAACCAAAAGTTGATGTCATTTAAGGTACTTAAAGTGTTATTAATGTAATTTCGTATATTGAAATATAAAAGATGAGGGTTTAATTTTTATTGCTAATATAAAAAGCTATCCTTTCGCACGTGACGGTCAATAGGACAGATGAAGTAGAGTTCTCTACTTACTGTGACCAAGGAATGTTAAAGGATAGTGGGAGCAACTCTGTGCTGAGCTGTTTTAACTCCCCCCCCCCCACCCCAACGTTAGAGTTGAATGGACTCGGTGACTCCTGGGATCCGAACTCGAGACTTTCATGTTAGCAGTCGTGTGCCCCCTCACTACACGTGATGTGAATGGTTTCATATCAGTGGCGTAGCCAGGATCGTCTCAAGGGGGGGTTCCAATTTTTACCCGGGGACAAACTTTCGATTTGCACCCCCCCCCCTCAAACTTTCGATTTGCACCCCCCCCCCCTCAAACTTTCGATTTGCACCCCCCCCTCAAACTTTCGATTTGCACCCCCCCCCCCCTTGCACACCCCCTTCATACTTTTTCTATATACCGAGGGGTCTATGGGGGGGGGGGGTTATGACCCCCCCTAACCCCCCCCCCCTTGCCTACGCCACTGTTTCATATACTCTCTACCCTACTAAAACCTCAAAATCTACAGGTCTGCTAGTGAGAGGCGAAACCCTTATAAAATCCTATTGTGTAAACTCTTGATAGCTTTTAGCATGACCTTGTGTGTCATGTATTGAGATACTCCCCAAACTTAACCAACCCGGTTTTGTTGTCTTAACTATAGCAGCCCTCACCTGCAGTGCTGCCATTAGTGTCACGACAACAGGCGGTGTGTCGGTCAGCTTATAGGTCAAGGTCGGCACCTTGACGTCCATGTCCAGTGTTGTCCCGCTTTGGTTGTCTAGTTGACCGTTCTGTTTACTGGTGTCGTTGTTGTTGGTGCCCATGACCTCGGCGGTGGGGATCTCTGTGTAGGAAGGATCAGAAAACCCGGAGGAATTCATTGTCACGTGTGTGTCAGTTGGATCTGACACCTGCGTCTTATGAGTGGCTTGTCAGGTTGGAACCCGGGTCTTAGTGGTGTTTGGTGAAATCACTACATCACAGCCACTACACAAGGTACATCGTGAAAATCCGCACGTGTCGATAACACAGTGTTTTCGGGTTCATTGAACAGACTTCAATTCACTTTAAATTACAATAGATTTGCTTCTTCAATAATAATAATAAACGCAAAAATAGAGAAGGTATATAACTCAAAACGGGGATACTAGAATATCAAAACGCAATTTGGAGTTTTAAAATTGTGTTGTAAATTGCGAAATACATTTAATCCTCGCTTCAAAGAAAAAATATTATAAAATTATACAGATAAACTTAAGAATGACACAGCTAAAGTATAGAAACACTAATAGTGTTATTAACAATTTTTTAAAATATTTCAATAATAAACTGTAATAATTTAACTAACTAAACACCATTTCTACATAGATCGTAATTGATATAACCTGTTTAAAACAACTTGTTTCTAACACCGCAAATGATTCAATTTACTAATAAGCAACCCAGATTCCATGTGTAAGCGTTCGCTTTGAGTGGGTGACAACAGTTCTAACGAAAACAATTTAAGTCAGTTAATATAAAATATTGTAGTCCTATGTGACTTCTTAGACTCAGCTTTAGAAATTCTCCGTGTTGTACTTAGGTAAACTCAAATGTTTATAAAATTTAATTTGTACATTTCTGGATACATTTCTGTCAAAAGTATCAAAATCTTTCACAAAGATTTTTAACGATGACGTGTATACCTTTAACAAAATAAAAAAAACTGTGAAGCCTATTTCACCTGGCTTATAAAATAAACTTTTAAAATAGTTATTAAACGATGTAAGTAGTTCATTCATGACTACTTTTAAAACTTCAAACTATTTCTGAAGATATGCGCACACACTTTTTGATATTATAAATTGTAAAATCTATCTCGATTGAAAGAAATTTAAAAAAAAAAAAAAAAAAAAACGGTTGCAGCATTTGAGGTAGGTGAATAGGTGCGTATGACGCGCCGATTATTTAGATCTACAAATCTAAACGTATAAGAATTATTTTTAAATAAAAATTGTCTCACAACTGCAGCTTACAGAAAACTCCAAATTTAAGAAAATCAAACTCCGTAAAACAAAGAAGTTCTGCGCATTTATATGCCATTGTCTGACACAATATAGACCTGGTACGATTTTTTTCCATGTCCTACATCGGTGTTAATGTCAATGTAACATTTTTTTTAAATAAAGAAGTACATCGCAAATAAAAAGGCGAATACAATAATTGTATTTCTAATTATGATTGGCCATGCAACATAAAATATAAATCTTACTTTCTCGCATGTTTACATTCTCACCTCTACGTTTTGTTAAACATCCAGTCGACTTAATTCAATTGTTTCGTTTGTTATTCGCTCACTATGGTTATTATTTCTTCGATTTGTTTATTAAGGTTGATCCCAATTAAACCAGATTTCGTATTCATGTCCGTACGTGCGGACATGGCTGTCAAGCTAATGGGAGACTATGGCTGCAAGCGTCACTAAACAGCCAGCCTACAACTGGTCATGTGCGCTAACTATCCTTACACATATGTAATTATGTCTTGAAATAAAATCCATTGTGCAACATTTGTTATGTATAATTTTACAACTTGTCCTGTGTTCTATTTAAATTAACTTGCGGCTACTACTTAACGGTTTCTAATTATTTTTTTAAAACTCAATTGTAATTTTTTACAGTTAGTAGGTCCTAATTTTCAGAAAAACATTTTTGATGAATAGTAAAAAAGAGAAAACGGTTTTTAGTAAAGTGCAGAGAAGTTATAAAATTACAAAATGTACTAATTGAAAGTGTAGAGATAGTGCGTTTAATTTTCGGCAAAAAAAAAAATTTCTGATGCCTACAGAAGCGGGTAAAAAAAAAACTCTAAAATCCGGTTACCATCAATAATTTGTTGCTACTAAATTGTTGAATTGCAACTGTCTTTGAAAATATCGAAATTTGGAGCGCCTCTAAAAACATATTAGCCAATGCCAAAAAGAAATCCTTCTGTGGAACTTAAGACGATTTGAACTACAATTTGAACAAAATGGAAGAAATGGTTCTAGGCAACAAAGACGAATTGAATCACAGTTGAACAGGAATGATGGAAGAGATCGCTCATTTCCACACAGACACATCTCATCTGTCTATTGGTGTAGATATAGTGAAGCTAACCATTATTTATAACTTGATTATGTGGGGGCTGGTATAGGGGCGGGTTATAAAACTTGCTGATTCTATTTTTAACTATCGTCAAAAGCCATTTACTCTATAACTAAACCATCTCCCCGCCCCCAATATCACTTTAATTTATTCGATTTGATTCGCCCTGATACACCGAGTTAAATGTGAACTTGTGACCTTTTATTTAAATTTACATATTTTCTACAAACCTGCTACTTTAACTAGTGAATTCGCGATAGCCTAGGGTTAGATAATAACTAATAGAGAAATATGTTTTATGACATATAATTGTATGTGTTTTTCTGTAATTGTGCTGTGTTGTCTTGTTTTGTTGCACTCTAAATTAAAGTGCTTTCTGCTAATTTATTACTTGCTTGAGATTCAGTACATTTTCTGCTGTTGTGTTATACGTAGAGGTGTGCTATAGAGCTATACTATTTTCTTATTTTGTGCTTTGATGTGTTTTGTAATTGTTGTGTACTGTGTGGGTGTGTGTGCGTGTGTATGTATGTATGTGCGTGTGTGTGTTTTTATGTCTTTTTTGTTGTTTGTACTGTCTGATATTCCTTAAAGTAGTTTGTACAAGTTAACTTATGTCATATATTTTGTTACGTTTTGTACAATTTTGTTGTGTTGTGTACTAGATTGTTGTTTTTATGCGCTTTTATGTTGTGTGTAATTCTACATAGAAAACAACCATTGATGTTGAGATCAGAGACTACATAGACAACAAGCTTTAGAATGTAATACGTTATTAGTCACAACTTTGAACACCTCTACAGCTTACACAACTGAAAGAATGGTAATCAGGAACAAATGCAATTGTTAAATATAAGAATGTTGATTATTTTTTTAAAAACAACGTAACGTTATTTTTAGACGTGACTTGCTTCTTAATGCAGGTTTGAGCTTCATTTTTTACTTTCTCGTATATACGAAGTATAGAGAAAGTATTGTAATCGTGCACAAAAATCGCTTGAAATTTTAACAATTTTCACCGTATTACACCTCAGTCCTTCATCACATCCGAAGTATAGAGGACTTATTTTAATCGGGCAAAAATTATCAATCCAGATTTATCAAAATTAAGTGGTTTTATGCGTAATCCAGTCTGAACAACTGGGCTTTGCAATTCTGTCCGTATGTCTGTGTGTCTGTCTGTCTGTCTGTCCGTGTGTAAACACGATAACTTGAGTACCGTTACAGCTAGGTTGATGAAATTTCATATATAAGTATTTTATCAAAATCGTAGATCCGTATCAACTTTTGAGCGATTTCCGATAACCGGAAGTGGTACTTTTTCTACTTTGAATTTTTTCAAAAGCCTATAACTTGAGTACTATTTCAGATAGATAAATGAAATTTCACATGTAAGTAAAAGATCTAATTCTCTACCTTCTGTTAAATTTTGAGTAATTTCTGATGACAGGAAGTAGTAATTTACTCTACTTCCGATTTCTCAAAAAACTAATGTAAATTTTTAAAGTACTAATAATATTGCGAACTATTATGCACATTTTTTTATTTGGCGTTCACTTGGTGTGCAATTCTTTTGTCAGCGAGATTTTATTCTATTTTTTAAACTTTAAGTATTTAAAATGGATTAAAAATCATGTCTATAGCCCGAGTTCCCATCCCCTTTTGTTTTATATAAGAATATTCGAGAAAGTTTAGGGGAGATCACTCCAGATTTTTAAGTCATGAAATTCTACTGTAATTACTATTTTTAAAGTAATGTACATAAACCGGGAATGAACACTGTGATTTAGTTCGCTCCGTCACATTCACAAGAGTGTGTCCAAAACAATATTGACTTTAGATGCAAGGTGTATTGTCTTCGGCGGGCGAACATCTTGTATCGTAGCTTAGTTTTAATCTACGAATATCATATTTCTTATTGCAATTTTAACATGTTTAATGTAATGTGACAAACCTTTTCTTACTTCTTCTTCTTCGTTCTTAATTTTAGTGTTGGAAGGTATCTCCTATAAGACAGTTAAGTATACGTGTCAACTGGTTATGCGCCATTGAAGCCATTGGGGCCAATGACTCATATTTCAGCCTGCTTTTCTTTTTTGGATTTTCTTCCAAAGCTTTTGCCCATCCAAGAACAAACAACAAGTCAGCAGTTGTTTGATTTTGGAGTTGTGTCTTCTAGTAGAGTGGCTGTCCTCAGCTAACGAGCCTTATCTGAACGGAGTTTCGAACTCGAGATTTTTCGGTTCAGCAACCATGAGCTACCGATTCGACCACTCATACCGTTTTCTTACAATTTTTATGTTTAAAAAGAAAAAGAAAAACCCAATGACAATTCATTTTTGGAACAAAATTTATCCTAAACACAATAAATATGTTGCTGTGGTTAAATTATATGTCTAAACATAAAGTGAGGTGTAAACCGGATGCGTAATATGGTCATAATATGCCCTTATATGGAAAGGATACGTTCTATGTTAACGTGTTTACAAATTAATTAAAGTCAATCAATAATTTTAAAAAAATATATAACATAAAAATAAATACAAAAAATGAAAATTAGTGATAATATTATCACAAAAAATAATAATCATTAAAAAAGTTTTAAAAAACCCACGTTTTCTGATTGAACTAAAAAGTAGAAAATAAATGCTATACATCACAATAATGCAAGCGATCACTCTACTATAAGCGATCAAAAAGGTAGGGCGCCGAAGTAAAAGTTATATTACTATTGATTAGATAATACTATTGACTTTTATTAGGGAGCTTGTAGAGAGTCAACAGTATTAGAAACTGTAAGAAAATCACGGCGCCCCACGTTTTTGATCGCTTATAGTAGAGTGATCGCTTGCATTATTGTGATGTATAGCATTTATTTTCTACTTTTTAGTTCAATCAGAAAACGTGGGTTTTTTTAAACTTTTTTTAAATTAATGATTATTATTTTCTACTTTTTAGTCTTTGTCTGTTTGTTTGCATTAAAATCTCGTAAACGTTGTATAGCATTAAAGTCTCGTAAAAAGACAACTCGTAAAAAACACATTGTGTGAATACGTTACTGACTAGAACACATAGATTTGAACCCGCGCCGAGTGGGATAGCCCCATAGCAATCGTGTGCCCAACCACTTGACCATATCGTCTCCCCCAAACTGGCCACCAGTGGTAATAGTTACCTCCTGTAAGTTTAAAGTCGGTTAAAACTAAATTATCTGCCCCTAAGCCTGTCGCGACTTGGGATCGTTCGCTTCACTGCGCGCGGCAAGAGAGAGGCTAGCTACGCGTCGCTGGGTTTTTTTCTAATGGCTCGCAGAGGAGAATTATATATATAGATTATATAGCGGTCTAAAATGCTCAATAAAATGTTTCCATTGATCAATTTAGTAATAATAACAATTGAATATTCTATGGTCATCCAAAAGAAAGCTTCCCTGAAAATTTCAGCGCTCTAGCTAACTGGGAAGTGCCAGAAATTTC